TATCTAAAGCTACTCTGATCGGAGGTTCAACTGTTGCATATTGCTAGCCAAACGCGAACGCGAACAAGAACAAAGGCAAGCACTGTTTTCCTTGTTTTTGCTTTTGTTTTTGTCATCCAAACAATAAGAGCGGGCGGTGATGGTTTGGGGGAGGGAACGAATGGAGGGCTAAGACTTTTCAACTCCAAAGGCCCAAAAGCGACGATCAATCCTCTTCAACGGCTGCATAGGGATAAGGACGTTCTAATAGCGCTACATGTCTTGAGGCTACAACAAGCAAGAGTTATCTTCATCCTTCAGGCTGGAAAGAAAAGAAGCAAGGAGAAATCAAGTGGACCTTGGCCAAGCCATGAACATGAGTTCTGCAAACAAGCAACTGCCGGCGCGTCTCTCCTTTTCGTATATCCACACATCACAATAACAGCAGCCGGTTAAGCGGATCGGCATTTTTATTATTATTACGATATGCGCACGCAAAAAGAAAAAACGAATAGAGGTGACAAGCGAATAATAAAAAGTATTCACCAGACAGGTGAACAACAAACGATAAAAGAGCAGTGCTCTCTCCATTTTTATTGCAAAAAATAGTGAGGGGTTGATGTTGTGAAGAGAAGACGTTTCATTCTATAACTTAGACCAAAACTTTTCTTCATGATAGATACTCCAGGCACCGTGAGCTTGAGCACAATGTACCTCCATGGATGGGTTGGTTCGGACGTCATCCGGCCAACAAAAGATTGCGCGCGTTTCATTTTTCTTACATGCTCAGAAAAGATAATAAAGCTACATTGGATACGTGTGGAGGAGGGTTCTCTCCATAACCAATAAAGACAAATATCTCTTTTTTTTTCTCTCAGCAGGTGTACTCCAACAAGCCAGCACCAGCACCAGTATCGCTGTAGCTCATCAGAAGGCCTTTTTTTTTTTTTTTTTTTTCGTACACAATTTTTATTCTCTAACAAACAGCATAGAGAAGCTATTAGAAGTAAAAGGGGACTACAGATCAAACTCTTCAGTACACCATCCACCAGTTGCAGTCCGATTCGGGACCTGGCTCTGCACAGCAATTGTCGCTGCTCTTCACAGCTTAAACGGAAGAAAATAAAACTAGATACGAATGAAGGGGATTTTTCCCATCCTCCCCATCATTGACAACCTCCTCCTTCCTAACAAACTCTCCAACAACCGCTCGTCAGCAGCGCGTGGGTCCTTGGTCGCCCCAGGGCACCTTCTTGACTCCAGTCACCTCGGGGGCCTTTGTACTTGGACAAAGACTATCTGCTTAAGGGGCAATATCACATGACCTTTACATATCATTGGTGAATGATGACCTTAGATATATGGATCTCCGAAAACCTAACATTCCATCAAGCAACAAGCAACACAAGCGTGGTTGGTTTAGTGGTATAATTACCGCCTGCCACGCGGTAGACCCGGGTTCGATTCCCGGACCACGCAGCTTCATTGCTACAGAACTATGACTTTAACTACTGCCTAAACTGTCCGATCCTACATCCGGACGATTCGCCCTTCACTGGGCTGAAAACGGTAGTCCCGAGTTCTTCTTTTGATTTTTTTTGCCCACAGAGGCATGAAGGAAGGAGAGAGGATAATAATAAGCAACTGTTGATGACCAAAATAATGTTTTCCTGGGTAATCTGACATGTGCTGTCAAATTATCTTTTTCAAGAAAGGATCAATCTATTTGACAACCCGGGTTGTTCGTTTTATTCAACAACCGAACACGTTTGCGTGCTAAGTCCATGTAAGCACTTTTTCATCTTTTTTTGATGATACCATGGAAGATGACACCAAACACTTGCAGTAGCGCTTGTTTTCGCCACTTCTTTATGGAGCACGACTCCCACGTTGTTCAAAGCGGTTGTTAAGATGCTTTTTATACGAAAATACCGTTTTTTTACGTGTGTGGTGGTGATGAAGACATAATTTTGGCTGGTGATGGTATTCGATGGTTGAAAGGGCTTTATTAATGATGTGGATGATAAAAAACGAAGACGCTGCAACAAAAAACATCGATGTATTGACTTTAAAGAAAAATAGGTTGTCCATGGACTTAGCATGCAAAACACGTTGGGTTGTTGAATAAAACGAACAACCCGGGTTGTCAAATAGATTAATCCTTCAAGAAAAGCTATTCTCCTCTAATGTGATTATCTGGATATTCATATGGCGTTCTTTTCAACGAGCAGCTCGACTGTAATAAAGTGGAATCTAAGCGTTGTTTAAGCACTGACTGTGTGTAATGAATATTTCTTACTATCATTAGTGTTAGGTTGTTTTTTTTTTTTGAAAAGGGTCAATTTGACGAAAGGGACACTTAGGAAACGCACCGATATGATGCCGCCAAGAACGCGAGTTCCATTGCGGTATATTGAATACAGGGTTAGCCGCTTCCAAGAGCGTGCTAAAAGAATGGACTCTGTCTTTTATATTCTTTCAGGTATTATCAAAACAGCGATTTACAAAATACTGGTGCCTGTAATACCAACAATGCAAGAAAAGAAAAACAATGAATGAAGTAAAGAGGTGTAAGAACTAATGATGTTAATTGTACAGAGGAGTCGCGTATTGTAATAGCAGCAAAGTAAGGGAGTGTGAATAAGGGAATGAGCAATGGAAGAGAATAAGAAAGAGGCAGGAAAGGTAAAAGTACCAGGGACACGTGGAAGAGACTGTTTATCATGGATGCTTCGCCAACACGCGCAGCGCATTTCAAATTTTGCGGTAGGAAGGATACTTTTGTCAGCGTCTCGTTTCAATTTGACATGAAATGCTTTGTTTCGCACTGTGCATGCTGTGATAATCGCTGTTCTGTAAAAGAGGGCACGTTTGAGGAGAGAGAAAAAAATGTAGATCGAAAGGGTGGAGCTACAGAAGTAGTCTAACGAAGATGGTGAGTAGGGACGAACCAGCGGTCAGGGTGCATGTGTACTCTTTGTCCATGAATAAAACAGATCCCTCTCTTTGTTTCGTTATTCTCCAGTTCATACCCGGTAAATATTTTCCAAGGGGCATGGTACAGGTGCATCGACTGGGATTGGTGCAGGTGCACTGGATAGGTGCATAAAAAAGGCTGATGCTGGTGCATAGGAAAGGAGTAGTACAGGTGCATGAGTAAATAGTAGTACGGGTGCATGGTCAAAGAGCGGTACAGCTTCATATACAAAGGAGCAGCAGACGACGATCTAAAAAGATGAAATGATCAAGGGCGAAGGGCTAGGTGGATCGGGCGAAGTGTAACGGGAAAGAATGATGATTTTATTACTTGTCCGCAGCTAGCTTCCATAACCTAGGCGAGGACAAGACTGGTGACTGCACTCATAGAGAGGAACCCACCTATCTATTACACCACTATTAATCATCATACGACAATCCTCCCAATCACTTATACGACAATCCCTCCCACCAGCCATGCGACAATCTTCATGCGCCACACGCCATTGATCGTAATATACCACTTGCCAACAACCCCCATATCAAAGGCAGCGTCGAAGTCAAAGGAGAAAGCCGATGCTCATATCCCCTATGTGCCAAAAGTTTACTTGAGAAGAAGCAGAGAGCAGAGAAGGGTGACGCCGACGCTGTGTTGGTGAAAGAAGAGAAGAACCATATTCGCCGAGCGCATTCGATGACGCCTGTAGTGATTTCTCTTTCAGATACAGGATGTATTCTCATCCTAAGAAGGAACCCGGCTCGTAACATGCGATTCCAGTGCCATTGTGGGAGTTTGATGCATTTTCGCGAATATATACGCAAGCACCGTCTGAAATGCTAGAAGTTGAAAGGCATTATAACCGTCAGCGAATATTTCTCAATTGTCGGTTCTGACAAGAAGCCGGATGATGTGCGAAATGAACCTCAAAGTGAGGAGGAGGAGAAGCAGGGTATCTCCGGCACCACTCACAATTCTGCTGTTTCTTGGGAAGCGTCAATGCACCTGCAGCCCTACCGTGCAGCTTGGACATGACAAGTTCAAATGCACCAACCCCATCTTTTCTGGAGCGCACTTCAATTTCAACAGATTCAAATGCTTGGGCAGCAACAGGTCATCTTTGATCAGAGACGCCAACAAGATGAACTCGCCTGGCTGTTGCGAAATCTTCAGCATATTGTAGGCAAAATGACGGATCGCCAGTCGACTCAACAACAACAACAGGCAGCATAACAGCAACAGACAGCACAACAGCAGCAGACAGCACAACAATTTGATGGACGTAAGTAATTAACTCTACCAAGCAGCGCTTTCATGCAAAGTCCTTCATGTACACTTATGTGCTTCCTTTCGAACGACCAGCCGCATATTGACAATACTTTAGAGAGACTATATCCCATGTTCAAGAAACAAAAATAGCGTCCAACACAAGCTCCCCCCACCGACACTAAGGAAGTGTCCTCAACCATGGAGCGATGCCGTTTATTAAATGCGATCAATCCTTCAAAATACATAGAGAAGTTATGATATTTGCAGATTGAACGATGGGTTACCAATTTTTTAGTCTTGCCATCACCTCTTAACAGCAAGACACTCAGTATATTACAACCCTGGGGTTGTCAATTGTGACTATGGGAGAAAACTCCCCATGCCCGTCGAGACGGGCCGTGTCGAGGAAAGAAAGGGCATGCACATGGTCACGACGGTCTTGTCAAAGCCCAATGGGGGGGGGGAAGCTCTTAACGTCGTTAACTGTGTGAGAACACAGCAGCTATTCTGACATGCTGTTAAAATATCTGGATAATCTGACTGTAATGTCAGAATATCTTCATCCCCCCCTTTTTTTTTTGCTGTGAAGGAGGTGTAGGGATGGTGGTGGCACCCATGGTGTCAAACGCCAACAAATTTTATTTTATGTTTGAACTCTTTGGATTAGGTGTAAAAGACATACAAACGATCGACATTTAATAGGTACAATCGTGGGTATTTTTCTTTCGTGAAAAGAGAAAGAAAGAAAAGATGAGAGAGAGAGAGAGAGAGGGGGGGTCTAGAGAGTGTATCGAAATGCAGGGTGCTTATCAGTAATATCGCGCATCTCGGCCTTGGTCAAGATCTTGAGCGGGTTGACTCCATAGCTGACCGAGTAGTTCCGGCGACTGTTCTCGCGTTTCAGCATGAACCGTTGTAAACACGAGAATAGCATGATCGCCACCATCATCCCGATGTTTACCAGATGTCCCTTCGCTACAACATTGAGAAGAAATAATAAAGGAAAGAAAAAAAAAACGTAGAGGCAAAAAGGGTTAAGTCGTGTTGGTTTTTAGCAGTCGAGGGGTCGCGTCACTTGGTCAAGGAATTTAAAAAAAAAAAAAATAGGGTGAGGGCATTACTGTAGTGAGGAGCATTGCGCGATCTGTAGAGCTGGGATCCAATCACACCAGCAACACTGGACGAAAGCAAGAACATGGCGACCGCAATCGCGCGTTTCGCGTAGCCTCCAACATTGGTCGTCAACCACGATGTCACAATCGGCGTCATCGGTGTTTGGCCCATACTAATGATAATAACCCCTGCATAATTGACTACACGAAAAAGAAAGAGGTATGTGCATCTTGTCAGACAAAAGCCGTTCGTTTTCAAGCGTCAAAATGCATACAAAAAAAAAATACCAATGCACTGTCGTACCATAGACGTTGAGAGTGAAGAGCATCATGCAGTACCCAACAGCTGTCACCATTGCGAGACCCATCATAATCACCCCCCGCTGCTGTGTCCGATCAGCTAGGATAGCCACAGCAAACGTCGAAACCGCGCCCATCAAATAAGAAGGGGAACTCAGCAGCTGTGCCAACATTCGTGCTTCACTCGTCGGCTCTCGCATGAACGGTTGGACGCCTGGTTGGAGGTACCCCGGGGACGAGTTGATGATGGAGATGGGTTCTTTGGAAATAACTCCTGGGAGAGTAGTGGATGGATCGAGTAAATTTCCGTCCTTCAGCGCTTTTGCCATCGCCATCCATGCCCTGCTCAGCACTCCATTCGATGAAATGACTACATGCAGAGGAGAGAAGAGAAATAAAAAAATCGAACGTCAATGACAACCCTCTAGTTAGTCTTTCCTATGACCGCGCTGTTATCTTCATCCGGGCGCTTTTTTGTTACCTGGAATGGTGACACAGAGGTTGAGGATCATGAAGATGTAGACCTTGGGATCTTTCAGAGCGGCAAGGACATTCTCCTTTGTGATCTGTCTCGACACCTTGATCTTGGTATCATTCCGAATCCTGTAGATCGCAATCGATGTCTCCCTCTGGTCCAACCACGGCGCCGACTCTGGTGACTTTGTCAGCAAGAACCTACAGCATTATCATTACACACATAAAAAAAAAAAGGAGTAAGCAAAGCAGGCATTTCCATCACCAGAAAAAAAAAATTACGACCAGGAAAATGACAAAAGAATTACCAGGCAGCGACGGCAAGCGCCATGGTGGGAAGACTCTCGATAATAAAGATCCACTGCCACCCATGGAGATTAAACCGCCCATCTAAATGCCCAATCCCACTCGAGATCAATCCACCGAGTGCTCCCGCCGCAGAGCTGAACGTCTGTAGGAGGGCCATCCGGAATGTCTGTTCAGACCGCTTGTAGAACATGGCAACGTACATCAATACACCCGGGATGAGGGCCGCTTCGGTGATACCCAGGACGAACCGTCCCACCATTAGAAGTGGAAAGATCTTGACCCATGCCATCAGGAACGTTATGCATCCCCTAGTAATGTGGAACAGAGGAGGTGAACGAGGGTAGGTTATAGAGATGGCAGAGTGTCTGCGTACTTGTGCCACTCGAAAAAATATATGCAATATGCTAGTGTCTCTCCTTCCTGACTTACCAGGTGAACATGGATGCTGGGAGCCAGACTTTAGGGGTGAGGTAAAGAAGAGCCATGATGGAGGGGATCTCTGCAATCCCATATCCGATATAGAACACTGCAATCGCCCAACTGAACTGCTCCTGTGTCGAATGAAGCGAGTTCTCGAACGCAAACATCCTCGCATTCGTTAAATTGATCCTGTCTATTCATTTTTTGACAAAGAAAAAAAAAAGTTCAATTGTCAGTTCAAACTCCATGTTTGACAAGAACAACGCGCCCAAAAAAAAACACGAGAAAGGACAAAAAGATAAACTCACTGAGGGTAGAGGCACCATAGAACATCCCCAAGATCGGAATAATCCTCCAATCAATCTTGTGCACAACCCGCTTCTCCTCCTCAGGCGTATACCCAAACAACCCGCCAGGGTTCGATGGATCCCGTCGAATAAAGTTATTTAGCCCATCTCCAAACACCGAAGCCGTCGGGGTAACTGGGATGCCCGGTCCGAGGGTACTCAAGAAATTCAGTTTGAGCGCATGGTCGATTCCATTGACAGACGCCCGACGACTGTGAGATGGACTGAGGCATAAGAAGGACGGGACGCGGGATTCGCGAAGGGATAGACGGGCAGTGTCGGGGGTTTGTGGCTCGAAGGACCTACGCCTCTTTTGGTGGAGGGAGGGCAGTGTCAAAGAGGGGTGTGTGGTTGAGATCCGAAGTGCTGTTTGGCCCATCTCTAGTGCCGAGGGTATATCTATGATATTTCGCAATTGGGAAAGCGGGAAAGGGAGGCGTGAGTTGGGGGTCTGTGCGGTGATTCCAGAACACGAATTAGAAAATATGAACGGTCAATTTCCACGCGCTTAATTCGCGTCGACAGGCAAAACCAACACACAGGGAAAACTTACTGAGATAGCGCCCATTGCCATCCTCATCCTTATCACATTGGTCATCTCTGCCATGGTCGCTCTGGCGATGGCGGCGGTGGTGGCGTCGTCTGTTCTCAGCGTCTTCTTCATCATCCTCCTTCGCATACTCATCGTCTCCATCATCGTCGCGAGAGCTCAAGTCGGGGGACCGCAACGTCGAGCTAGAGGATACACTTCCAGAAGTATAAGTTGGAGCCAACACCTGCAGGTGAATCGCGGTTAAAGAAGTCATCTTTTTCTCGTCGTTTCTGTTTTGCAGTTGCTTTGGTGTATCTCCTTTGAAATGGGGTTGATGTATCAGTTGTAATGGAGAAGAGATGGCGATGCGAGAGTTGAAGTGGACGAAGAAGTACAGGGTGGATGGAAGAGGAAAGAAGGCCAAGGGAGAAACGAGGAGTTCAGGGAAGGTTGAGGGTTGAAAGGGGGAAGTAAGGAAGGAGTAATACGATATGGGGGGTAGTTCCTTGTCAATTGGTGGAAGAAAGAAAAGAAAAAGGTCAACGCAGAGGTGATGGCGACCGTTTGTTGAACTCAACGAGTCGGGATGGAAGGGCGAGTAACAATGAGAATTACAACCAAGCTTGGTTACAACTGAACGAAGTCCATGGAAAAGACGTGAAGTTTAAAAAAAAGGGAGGGACGGGTGAATGGGAGAAGTTGAAGGTAGATAAAGTAAGCAAGGGTAGTGATTGTTTTTTTGGAGGTGGTAATTGGGGCATGCAGATTGGAGAAAGACAGCAGAAAAATGTCGAATGTTCTAAATTGAAATGAAGTTAGCGACGGATTGTCGAAGGAATGGGGGAAGAGGGAAGGGGGCCAGGAAGTCAAAAGTCCAGAAGGAGGGAAGGCAAGAGAGGAAGGAGAAAAGGAGGAGGAGGAGAAGGAGAAGGCGAGGAAAATAAGGAATAACATTGAACCCGGCTCAGGACAACCAAAGTAATCGAAAATGAAGCAACACAGGAAGAAGAAAGTGAGAGAAAAAAGAAGAAAGAAGAAATCGGTCGGAGCCCTGTGCTGAATTTTTTTTTTTGAAGAATGATCTGTCTACAGGCTTTGTCCAGTGCTGTCATTGTGCAACAATACAAAACGGCACGTCAAGAAAGAGAAGGTAGCAAAAAGCGAGACAGCGTTGTGTTCAGACGGGTAACAATAGTACGTTGCAAGGCAGCAGTAGCCGATTTCTTCTTTACCTCAACGGGGTATGATTGTCTAGAGGGGCCAAAGGGAAGGCGTCTTTTCAGTCAACGGCAGCCAGCTGGCGGCTTCCTGTGGGCGTACGAGAGCGGGTATGAGAGAGTGGTTGCTGGTGAGGATGGGAATACGCTAAAGTACATCGGCGACTGGACAGTTACCCAACGAACTGGATCATGTCCATCAAGCAAACATGCCTCTTCCATTTTTCCATATCGCCCCTTTTGTTATTCCTTATTTCCATAATCATTTACTGCCTTCACACACAAACACACATCTCTCCACTCGCAATAAACCATAGCATTTGTCCGTAGTTTCTTTGTTTCTTCTTTTATTTGTCATCTTTCTTATCGTTCAAGACTGCATGCTCCTCTGGAGGTAATCTCGAACTTCGTCTTTACTTGTTGTTGCCAGATCCGGGAAATACAGTCCAAACAGCTTGGCACGTGGGAGGGTATCCGGCAAGTGACGGTGATGATGGTGGTCATGACGACTCTTGGTTCTTGGTTCCCCTACCACTTCATCCACTGCAAGTTCCTGAGCATGTGCCGTTGTCGAGGTTGCTGCTGATGTCTGTTGAGTTGCCACAGTGGCCAGAGGTCGGCATGTGCTCCCAAGGATAAAGTACCCCGCCGTCAACATACCCACCGCAAGGCCAATCCCCGTGGCGACCTCCTGAGTCGCCAAAAACTCCATGATCCCTTCGGTGGGCTGCAAGGAGTCAATCATGTGGGTCGATGTTGATTCCCCACTGTTCCTCTCCACACCATCCTCCAACGGGCGAGATATCGGGAGAGCCATGATCGCCATCATTGTAAATTTGCCGACAGTAGCCCCTGTGAGTCCTCCGAGCCCCAGCTTTATCCAGAACGCCATTCGCGCCTTCTTCGACAATGCCTCCGATGCATGCTCAATCACTTCTTGTACGCTCGCATCAATCGAAGACCTCCTCGCTTGATCCTGATCCTGATCCTGCCTCGCAACAGTATATTGGTGCCGCTGAGCAACGGCCGCTGCTCGGAGAACATGCCGATATGTTGTCAAATCCGGCTTGACGTCTCCCTGCGGACTATCAAGCATCTCCTGGAGGACCGCCTCTGCTTCGTTAAAGTGGCCCGTAATGGCGCATATATTCAGGAATGCATTAGTGACCTGGAGAGAGGAGGTCCGCTGCCGGCTCGGAAGGTCCTGAATGATCCCAGATTCTGAGTGAGGACGGGTCGACAAGTCGTTGTGGATCGAGTGTGCAATCTTGAACACTTGGTCAGAGGAAAACATGGACGACTGAAGGATTGTCTCCAAGAGATTTGGCGGTGCTAATGTTGTAGATGCTTTGTTGGTTTCTGGTTTCCTTTTGTCCTTGGGTAACCGTGTGTGCTGTTGATGTTGCTGGTGCTGTTTCCGTGGGTGATGTGTCGTCTTGGAAGGCGATGGTGACATTGCTGCTCGACACAAGTTGGCGCAAGCGGTCAGCATGGCTACCAAGGCTTGATCTGTCGGTACTGGGTGGCTCTTGAGATACGACGCTACGCTCTTTTCGAGTTGGACAGGATTCTTGCACTGCTCAAAATCCAGAAAGTCGGGGTCGGAATACGGATACGGGTACGAGTCTCCAGGGACATTAGTATCGCTACTGCTGCTCCCGTTGTTGTTGCTGACGTGTGTATTAGAGGTAGCGGTGGTTGTCGCAAAAGCGCTCTTTCTCTGTTCGTGGAAAGGAAGATGATGATCCCTTGACCGTCGTCGCATTGGAGTATTGGCGTTGACTTGGTAAGCAATTGCTTGACACGACGGCAACGGCGACGACGACAGGGATCGTTCCGAAGAAGGTTTGGTGCGGGATAGTATCCGCACCCTTGGTCGTGAGGGAGTGTTGTTGATTAGGAAAGACAGTTGGCGACATTGACATGGATGAGGATGACCATGACCTTGTCCTGTGAGTAAGAAGAGACTCTGGAGGTGATGCCTGGGTGACCTTGTTGCTGAGTAGAGTGAGCGAGTTCCTGACATTGTAGGTTCCTGGCCTCTCTGGAGTTTGATGGATCAGTTCGTTGGTCGATGGAACAAAAGAAGCGAAACCCACAGGGTTCCGCACGCGGGTTTTCAAACTTTCTCATAGGAAGAAGCCACACACATCTGAAAAATTAAGCAACCCGCATTCGAGCAAATGCATGCGGGTCGTCGTGTTTATTTACGTACTCGTGTTACAAGCTATGCAGCCTGCTTCACCTCATCCTCTTCCTGTTGTTGCCTATGCTTTCCGTGTCATCCCCTGGAGGTTGTCGCTTCAATTTCGGGTTATCCTCATGTCTGTACAAAATGAAAGGTGAAGAGAGTGTTTGTGGATCAGTCTCTTATCTCTGTCAATTTGATATCCATGTCGTAACTCTCAGCAACGTTACTATGCCATTGGCTGGACTCTCGCTTACCTGGTGATTTGAATGTTACGGATTTCGGGGTGTGTGGGAAGAAGGGAAGCGTGTTTGGGGTGTGGTAATTCGAAGAAATAAGGATGGGCAAGTGCTTGTTTGACTGAAAGGCGCTTCTTGGGGTCGTAGGTCAACAGTCCACTGAGCAGAGATCGAGCAGCATCGGTGATGTGAGGGAATTTGTTCTTCAAGTTGTTGAACCTATCGGGGCAAACGTTCGAAATGTGTGTGGTCAGCAAAAGCTACGAACTCTCAAGTGTCTAGTAGGAACGGCTCCCTCGGCAAGAATAGTTGTCAGTGTTACCTTTGCTCAGGCAGTTTGATAGTGGACATGGGCAGCTTATTGAATCCTTGCCAGATTTTCTCATGGGGCGTTCCAAGGAGGTCAATTATCAAGTCCACTTGCTGCTTCTCAACCTTCCCTGGCAACAAGGGCGCGTGCTTCAAGAGTTCTCCAAAAATGCATCCTGCCGACCACATGTCGACCGCCGTTGTGTAGTTTAGATCTCCAAAAAGTAGCTCTGGTGCTCTGTACCACAGAGTGACCACCTTGGGCGTCATCGGCCGCGATGGCAAGCCAAACGAACGAGCAAGACCAAAGTCCGCTAAAAAATGACAATTATGTTCAAAGCGTCAGCGCCCGAGTGAAAGAGGTGTCCCATGTAACGATCTTTCACATGCAGAAAGAATCCTTACCAATTTTAAGGATGCCCTGAGAATTAAGAAGCAAGTTGGAAAGCTTCAGGTCGCGGTGGATAACAAAATGGTCGTGGCAGTACTCAATGCCCTTCAACAGCTGGAGCATCAGGCATTTTACTACATATTGGAAGACATGGGGTGTGGGTTAGATACTAGCCATGGAAGCAGTGAACGCAAACAAAATCCTGTTGATCTCAACTGCCAGACATAATTGCTACCTTCAGCTGGCGTGTACGGCTTCTTGACATTATCCATTAGAGCCGCCATGTCCTAAAACCGCAAAAAAAAGGCGTTGTAATCTGATTAGCAACTTGTCCCACGGTGCGGACATCGTTCAGTATGAGAAGTAAAATAATAACAAATAGTGTGCCTCCATACCTGCTCGCAGTATTCCATGACGAGGAAGATTTGATCCAGATCGTTTCCAACAGCAACCTCCTTGACCAAAACGACGTTGTCATGTCGGAGAGTCTTTAGCAGTTTGATTTCCCGAAGAGACGATATTGGCAGTCCGTCATTCTCCCGCTCCATCCGGATACGTTTAAGCGCCACAATTTCATTCGTCCTCTTGTCCTTTGCACGACTAGAGTGAAGAAGAGTAGAGCCAGGGCAGTGTTAGGAGGCTGTGGTCGACAATGTAGCCATTAGTGTTGAAGATACCATGGCTGAAACCGGGGGACACGAGAAATATGGCAGGGACGGTGACTTACTAGACAACTCCATAGGTGCCTTCGCCCACTTTGTTCAACTTTTCAAAGTCGTCCACCACTCGTGAGGTTCCGAAGAAGGACTTTTGTGGCGTCAGATGGCCCATCCGTCCTGTGATTGACAAGAGGCTGTTGGGATCTGGTTTGGACATAGTACCGGCGACGGGTGCTGTTGCTGGGTCAGCAGGTGGGTGTTGCTTGTCTTTTGGTTGAGCCTGTTTGTCTCTGTTATCTCGACCCTTGTTGGATTGGTCCTTGCCGTGATTATTCTTGTTTGACTGTTGTTGTCGGGAGGGGCCCTGGGTGGATGGGTGGTGCTCATCCTTGGCCCTGCCTCTTTCCCGGTCCTTCTCTCTCTGATCCTGAAGTCGTGCGCGGTCATCCTTCTCTCTGGCTCCATCACGGCCCCCTCTGTCTCCGCCTCCTCTCCCTGAACGTTCAGCTTCCTCCTTTTCCGTGCGCTGCCTCTTTGCATCAGCATCAGATCTCTCCTTGTGATCTTTGTTCCCACTACTTGAGGCATGTTGTCGTTGTCGGCCGTTATGTTGTTGACTTGTGCTCCCACGATCATTGTGGTTAGAGGATGATAATGAGGATGATGCAGCTGCAGCTGCTCCTGTTCCTGTGGCTGCTGATGAATGACTCCGGGAGGGCTTGCTATCATTCGCTGAGGATGTGTGTGTGGATTCCTTGGGACGATCGCCCCTTCCTTCTTCCCGGGTCGATCCTCGCCGTTCTCTAGTCTCTGACGACTCGTTGTGCGTATCTTTTGTGGTAGAGGTTGTGTTGCGATGAGAGGAGGTATGAGAGCCGTCGGCACTGATACCGTGGGGACTTTTATGTCCATTTGCCACTGAATTCCTGCGGTCTTCCATGTCTACCGCCCCACTGCCCTCAGATTTGGAGTTCATATGAGCGCCAGAGACCGGTTGGTCCTTTGTTGAACTACTGCTAGCCCTGTTCAAGGTCGGTTGGGCGCTTTTGGAGGATGTATTGGTGGTAGCGACGGCGTCTGGTATCATGTTTGTATCTGCGATGGTTGCAGTCGGGGTCACTGTTGTCGCAGGCGTGGTAGTGGTTGTAGTGGTGATGGTGGAGGAAGTTGTCATCGAAAGCCTTCTTTGGTTGACTGGAGGCTGAAATCTGACGATTCTGGTCCTTTGTGCTGTTGACTGTTGGTGAGTGGTTCCGATTGATTCAGACGAGCCAACTTTCTTTTCTTGAAAGAGTGAGAAAGAGAGAGAGAGAATAAAAGTAGTACAAGTGGAGAGTTATTAGCATCGGTGCCAAGGTTGCGTTTACACGCGGAGTTCTGCTTGACTGACTGACTGTGCAAGGGGGTGTGAGAGTGATGGGTGGTTTTGAGTATAAGATCAGCGATCGGATTCTTTTCTTCATTCTTACTCTTGGGTTGTTATTGTTGAGTAGGCTGAACAGAGGGCAGAGATGTGCCTTTTTTCGTTATCGCGTTGGATCTCCTTGGTCGGTTAGTTGTTGCTGTTGTTATTGTTGTTGTTGTTGTCGGTGGTAGGGGTCGTGTGGTGGCAGGTTGTCAAAGGGTGGCGGCGGTCTATGGTGGTTGACAGGACACACAAAAGAGAAGAGAAAAAGGAGAGAAAGTCGTCGTAGGCTTTTGACCCTTTTGAATTGCACACTGCACGCACAATTGGATTGGAATTTCTGAGTGCTCTCATTGGTCAGGGGTGCGCCAGACAACAAAGAGAGTTGTCACTCATTCGCAATCCCTACTGTTTTCTCTCTCTCTCTTCCTCTCTTCCTCTCTCTCTCTCTCTCTCTTTCTCGCCCTCAGTTATCTGTAGACCTTGTTTGTTCAGCTATTTACTTGGGCATCATAGGCATACATACATCCAATCTGCTTCATTAAAATGCTCTTTTACAACAGCACTGAACACTCCTTTTTTTAAGTTATCAGTCCTGGTGATCAAAAAATACGGACGACAGTAGGGCATAAATAGTGATGATTGGTATTGGTACCCTGCTGTTGTTGCCTACGAATAAAGCCATTTGGACAATCTTGCACCCATATTGTACCATGACGTTATATATATATATATATACACATGTAGTCTCCAGTCTCTTCCATGTTGCAGCTCTCCTATGCATCTCCATCGTGTCTTGCCTATGCGTGTCTTTCAACTTCTAGGGATATTAGTGTCAGCATGTTTGATTTGTGGCTTGTGTTTATCATTTTCTTTCCTCTTTTTCTTTTTTTTTTCTTTTGACAACTAGAGTTTGTGCTTGGCCCTTTTTTTATTTTTCAGTCGACACTCCCCTCTCTCCCTCCCATTCACACACTCCATCCCATCAAAAAGGCAGCATGGCAAAGTCAGCCCTCTACCGCCTCAAGTCCTCCCTCAAAGAGGCCGGGGCCATCGGCCCAAACTCTAGGGCATCCCTCTCCAAAAAGGACCGGAAAAAGGGCCGCCCCACCGCCGCCTCTGCAAAGAATGATCTCAACAAAAAGCTCGCCCACATCAAGGAGGCCATGAACCCATTCGAGATGAAGGTCACCAAGCAGAAATACGATATCCTCGGACGCAAGACCAAGGGCGTTGATGGCAAGCCTACGCTTTCTAAGCAAGTCGGCGAAGAAAACGTAACGTCTTTTTTTTTTCTTTTTCTTTTTCAACGCATTTTTTTCCCCTTCTTTCTGCACTTTTGTCCCCGACTTTCACTATCAACCATTTATTCTCGGTCCCTATTCAATCGAGTGCCCCCTTCTCCTTGACAAACCCTGGATGTTCAACATTCATATGGAACAAGCACTTCCATACTTCAACTGTCATCGTTTTCAGACTTCTTTACTCTTGTCCCTTTTGTCCTGTTCTCACCTGCTTTGCTCAATTGAACCCCATCTACCTTGCTCAGGACCTGGATATTCAGACGGAAGAAGTAAACTCTCAATTGACAACCTCTATTCTTATACTTTTCAACTATCCTTATAGCGTCGCAAGACGTTGCTTCAGGAACTGCAAAAGAAGAACAAGGCCGGAGGCCTTATCGATAAGCGTTTCGGAGAGGACAACCCCAACATGACACCCGAGGACAAGATGCTGGAGCGTTTCACCCGGGAAAAGCAGAGCCGCGCCAAGGGCGGAGCCATGTTCAACCTGGAGGAGGAGTCCGACCTGACCCATTATGGTCAATCGCTGGCTGGATTGGACGACTTTGACGAGGATGGTCTCGGATACAGCGATGATGATGACGAGAACCGCGGTGCAATCGGAGGCGATATTGTCAGCCATAGCCATTTCGGAGGATTCGACGAGGCAGGACCCGAGGAGACACATGAGGATGGCCGCCCCAAGACTAAGGCCGAGGTGATGAGAGAGGTCATGGCCAAGTCAAAGTTCCACAAGCACGAACGTCAGAAGGAGAAAGAGGAAATTGACGACATTACAAAGGAGCTGGATGACGAGCTCGACAGTATTCGTGGACTCCTTGGATTCGCAGATCAGGCCGCAGAGGAGCGTCGGCCCAAGCGTGCCCCTCTTCCTTCCCAGAAGAGTGCTGCCAACCGTGCCATTGACCGTATTGCCGATGAGGAGAAGGAGAGGCAGAAGCAGGATCGTGATAGCGGTATCCTGGACAAGGACTTTGACGACAGCTACGACAAGCATATTCGCGAGCTCGCCTTTGACAGACGTGCGAAGCCCCAGGATCGTTTGAAGACCGAGGAGGAGATCGCTCAGGAGGAGGTCGAGAAGCTCGAGAAGGCTGAGAAAGCTCGTAAGCGTCGTATGGATGGTCTCTCGGACGAGGTTGATCCCAAGGAACAGGGAGGATTCAAGAAGAGGAGAAAGGCCACACCTGCTGCCGATGATCTCGATGACGACTTTGCTCCTGAGGATGACCTGTTTGGTCTTGGAACCGGCATGGATGTTGGCGAGGAGGAGTTCAAGGGTGTCAAGCCCGGCAGAATGCCCAGCAAGAAGCGCAGGACAATCAAGGTCGATGTCGATTCTGAATCCGAGGAGGCCGAGGAGGGCGATGAGGAGGAGGAGGGTGATGAGGAAGAAGGCAGCGAAGGTGAAGAGGACGAGGACGAGGATGAAGAAGATGACGATGAGGAGGGCGATTCCGAGGACGACTTTTCTGACTTGGATATGTCGATGGAGAGGCCCACCAAGAAGTCGAGCACAGCAGAGGAGGAGGATGACGAGGACGACATGAATGACATGAGCGCAGCAAAGTCCAAAAAGTCGACCAAGTCTGAGAAGAAGGCCAAGGCCACCGCCGATGCCGCGGCCGCAGCTTCCGAGCTGCCCTTCACTTTCCCTTGCCCAACCTCGCTCGGCCACTTTATGACGATCATCGACGGCATCGATATGAAGGACGTCCCCACGGTTGTCCACCGTATCCGCGCCCTCTACCACCCCAAGCTCTCGCCCCAGAACAAGGAAAAGATGCAGGTCTTTTACCCCGTCTTGCTCGACTACATCTTCCAGATCTCTGTCTCCGAGACCAAATTCCCCACCGGTGCTCTCAACACCCTCGTCCGCCACATCTACGCCATGACCTCCCAGCTGGGCGACCATGCAACCTCGTGCAACCTTGGCTTTTTGGAAGCCTTTGAGAGCGAACTTCAAATGGATCTTGCATCTGGTGCTCGGTCAGGATTTCCCAAGGGCGACAAGTTGTGCTTCCTCCGGGTTCTCGGCCAGATTTACTCGACATCGGATTTCCAGCATCAGGTCATCACCCCTGCCCAGTTCTTGATGAGCCAGTACCTCGGACAGTGCCAGGTCGGATCGGTCAAGGATATTGCCTCGGGACTGATGCTCTGCAACCTGTTTTTGGACTACCAGACTCTTTCGAAGCGTGTTGTACCTGAGGCCATCAACTTTTTGAGCTCATCCTTGGTCTACCTGGCCCCCAAGGGTACCTTCAGCGAGGATGTGGATGAGCTCCCCGGTTCGTTCCCTATTCAGGATGTCAACATTGCTGCTATTCAGATGACCACCAAGGGTTTGAAATCCGTAGAAGTCGAGCGTCTTTCGATCAACATGTTCAAGCTCAAGGACACTGCCCTCGAGAAGAACACCTACAGGTAAGTCCTTCGTCCTCCTGACGGGGCATATGAATTTTTTATTCTTTTGCTTGACGTGTTGCGCGGTTTTTGCTAACAAGGATATATATATATATTTTTAATATGAATATCGTCCAATTTTTAGGGTAGCGGCAATGTCAGCAGCAGCAGATATCCTCCACAAGTACGCCATCCTTTACGCATCCACAACAGCATTCTCAGAAATTTTCCAAGGCCCCCTTGGACTCCTCGAGAGGCTCTCAACTGTCCCCGAATTCTCCCCCAGCCTCAAGTCCCAACTCGTCAAGACCCAAGACCGGATCCAAAAACTCCAAGGATTCTCCACAGACAGTCGTACACCCTTGCAACTGCAAGCCCACAAACCCGTGCCCATCGCGTCCTATGTGCCCAAGTTCGAGGAGGGTTACTCGTTGGACAAGCATTACGACCCGGATGTGGAGCGTTCTCAGGCTCACAAGCTAGAGGTCCAGTACAAGAAGGAGAAGAAGGGCGCCATTCGCGAGTTGAGAAAGGATGCACAGTTTGTTGCACGCGAGAAGCTGCGTGTCCAGCGCGAGAAGGATACAGAGTACAATGCAAAGATCAAGGGTATCATGTCGGGACTCGAGGCCGATCAGGGCGAGAAGAATGCAGAGACCAGGATGAAGCAGGCCAAGAAGAACAAGGGCAAGCGGAACTAAGTCCTTTTTTTTTTTTTTCTTCTTTCTTTTCGTCTGTTCGTATTTGTTTTCTATCTTTTTTTTTGCATTTTTCATTTTTCTCTTTCTTTCTCTACCATTACCATCTCACACTTGTTCACTAGACCACCCACAAATAAACACCCCCAATGCATATTATCATCATCATCATCATCATCATCATCCTCGTTGTCATGGTCGGAATAGTCCCTTGGCTTGTAGAGTTTTTTAAGTTTTGATTTATTCGGCAATGATGCGCCGTATGTACAATGAGCAACAGGGAGAGAAATGGAGCAGAGGAAGACTGGATTTCTTTACAAGTACAAAGTAGAGCCCCAAAGGGCAGGAAGGATTAAGGGAAGTATGGTACAAGGGATGCAAAAGAATCTCCCCAAAAGGTAAATTCGCTATTGGAGAGGAGGGAGAGAGAGAGAGAGAGAAAAAGAGAAAAATGAAGCAAAAGACAGATATGAAAAGTAAAAAAAGGAAAAAAGAGAGAGATTTAAAGCAAGAGGGAATCATCGCCTTCGCCAACAACAGTAAGCACCTTGACTGCCGTTGCAGCAATGAGCTGCCAGACCTCGCCCCGGAGCATGATGAGAGCCATGATCCAGTACAAAAGCGTCTTCACATCCGTCCGGCGCATCTTGTCCGCACAAGCCTTGACAGCCTTGGCCGCCTTCTGGCGCATCCCCTGCTGCTTGGCCGCGATCTTCATAAAGATCGAGTTGGGGCGAAGGATCAGACGGTAGAAGACTCCTCCTCGACCGTTGTTGTTGTTGCCGTTGCCGAGGATGTTCTTGGTGGGGTCGATATGGGTGTTGCGTGCGATGGTGGTGCGATCCTTGCGCGAGAGTGGGTACTGAACCGGCAAGTCTGACTGGATTGAGGGTGTGATCATGAATGAAGGGATGTGGGCGGTCGATTTAGAGTGCTTCAACAATGGTGCTTTCATAGGAGTTGACTTGCCGTAATGATGGTGATCATGGTTGTTGGTAGGAGTGTTGTTGTTGTTGTTCAAGTCGATGAAGGGGATAGAGTTGGAGCGGGTTCTGAGGAGGGCAGGGCGCAAACTCAAGTTGCCACTGTTGCTGTGGTTTGTTGAGTGGGCGTGGCCGCCATGAGGAGGGGCCATGGGCATCATGGGTGTCATTGACAAGAAGTTGAGGCCGTCGTGGGGACGCAATTTAGGGCTGTGCATGGGTGTTGACGAGCTGGCGTCGTAATAGATCGAGTCGCAAGAGTTGACACGGCTGAGGGACATGGTGGGCGTTCCTGGCTGCAGGCTTGACATGGGGTAGCCAAAGTAGTGGAAGGCCTCGCATTGCTCCGAGTCGTTCTCGTGCGCATCCAGTCCGCCAAAATCTAAAAGTAGAGAGAAGTATGCAAATGAAGAGAGACGATGGTCAGATATTGGCCAGTAATGAGGTCATGTAATAGGACATTGTCGTTGCTGTATCCTGTGACGCTGTGAATAGGCCATTCGGCTGCTTTGCATTCATGTGTTTGAGTTTAGGCCAATGGGTCGACAACATGATCAATACATCTCTCGTCTTGTCGTGTTTTTTTGTACAAATAACGAGGAACGTACCAGTGGAGAGATCTTCGCGATCAAAGTGCTCCCAAAGCTCATCGGTCGATGAAGGGAACGAAACACGCGCACGGGCTGACTCTGGAAGGGCACGCTTCAGCATCTGCCAGATGCCGCCAAAGACCCAGCTGTAGTTCAGGACGTATACTAAAATGGCCATGGTCACATGGTCACAAGAGCAAAGCAGAAAGAATGAGATCAGATCAGTTCCAGTTCATCTATTGTGCGACCCTGCACGTCGTCATACATTGTTGATTCACGGCTAGTAATAGAGTAGAGTCAAAGGGTGTAAACAAAAGCCCCACAATCCTCTCTCTCATTCATGGGTGAATTCAACCCGGTGGGTCGACCGAAAAATAAACAACGTAAAAAAAGGGGGGGGGGGGGTGGTCGTTGGAAGACTTTTTCTTTTTTTTTTCGTTCGTTCAGTCGTTGTTCTTTTTGTGGCCGGCTAGCCACATCGATTAATACACACCACCATGCGTGTTGCGTTGAAATCCGAGAGAGTGTGGGGTGATGTATATGCATGCCGGTTATTTTTGCATGCATAAATGTCCGTCTGTCTTTACATCCCTTGCTTCTCCAATTGCTTTTAAAAAAAGTAAGGTCGGCTCGATATTCCAGAATGACGATGATGAATGAATACGAAAAAAAGGAAAAAAGTTTCGTTTCATACCTTGGGCAAGACAGCTAGGGTAGCGATGCTTGAGAAGGTCGATGGTGTACGTGATCAATTGGTGGTCGAGGTCAGAGACAGATGCTCCCTGGAGATCGAGGATGAGTGACGCCTGGAGCGAGTGCTCCTCAAGTGGTTGGCGACGGGAAGATTCCCAGAGCAGCTTGCGGGTGCACTCCAACACAAAAATGATGTATCGTTTGTAATCCAAGAATCGATCCTCCTCTTCTTCACCATCATCCTCTTGTTGAGATTGTTGTGGAGCAGAAATGTATTGACCCAGGCGGATGACGATGAGCGGGTGTCCGTATCGGTCCTGTCCTCGGAGGTGGACGAGGTTGTTGGTCCAGAGCGGGTTCTTTTGGAGGTCTCGTGGGGTGATGCGATCACAGCCCATAGCTAACCTCCAGGCGACGTTGGCCTCGACGATGTTATAGGCCTCAGGGAGGACGTAGTTTGCCTTTTTGAGGAAGCGGAAGAGGGTGATACGGTCGTTGAGGTAAGAGGTGGCGACGTCGTGGTGTTGGTGTGAAGGAGGGTATTGCTGTTGGACGAGGTGTTGGAGTTCGGTGACCTGTTGGATGTGGTCCTGGTACAGTTCCAAAAGTCCGTTTGTGGATCTCTCAGCAGCGTTCATAATGAGAAGTGAGAAAGTATGTAGATGGAATGAGCGAAAGGGAGAGAGAGAGAGTGAGAAAGGAGAGAAGGAGGGGAAAAAAAGAGAGGAGGCGTGTTGTGGAGATGGATGAGAGTGGAGAGGGGAGGTGGAGTGGAGTGAGTCGGGGTTAGAGTGAGAAGGAAGAAGAGTTAAGGGTTGGGTAAGAGAGAAGAGAGAAAAGAAGAGAGAAAAGAAGAGAGAAGAGAGAAGAGAAGGAGCCGAGAGGGGAAGAGGAAGAAGGGTACAAAGAAAAAACAAAATACACAGAGGGGGAATTGAGAGGAGGAGAAGGGAAGGGGAGAAAGAAGGAAGGAAGGAGGGGGCAATGGTCTCTGGCTGTTTGTTTGTTTGTTGTTTGAAGAGAGAGAGAGAGAGAGAGAGAGAGGAGAGAGAGAGGGAGAGAGGCACAACAAGAACACGGATATAAAATGTATTGTACTCCCTGGCTCTGGCTGGTGGAGGAGGTGGACCGATCAATTTCACATGTGAAGGCTAAACAAATAGCACATACTCTACCCCCCCTACGCACTTCATACCCACGCTACTCTCCAAAAGAAAAACTTTCTTTGCTGCTCGCTCCACTCTCCATTTCCCCTTTTTTTTTAATGATTCCTTCGCCCGACTTCTTACTCTTGCACGTTCAATTCCCCTTGCGCGTGGGATTCTTCATTCTTTCTTAGTTCCGTAGGCAATTTCACTTTTAATAATGTCATTGAATATATGAAGAGACTGTGCTGCGAATGCCATCGTCTGCTTTAGCCATTCAGCCGCATCGCATACCAGTGACAGAAAGAGAGAGAGAGAGAGAGAGAGTGAGAGAGAGTGAGAGAGGCAGGTTGCAGTGACAAGACGAGGACCCGGACCTGAATACAAAGACAAAGAGCAATGACAAACACAGATGCCCGCTACTTCTTTTTGTGGCCAAACAGGTGTTCAGGACCACGTTCCTTGGAACTTGTGCATGCATCTTTTTTTTTCTTTTCTTGACACTTGAGAGCAACGCCTTTGTGCAATAGTCATGTGACTTTCAACAAAGCCACATATATCATCAAGAGAAGGGTATGCACTGTTTGTCTCATTTCTGAGACAGCAGAACAGACCGTTTTTGACCCTTCTGCCGGTACGGAACACAAGCAGAAGGGGAACAGAGACCTGCAGGGCTGCAAGGTTCAAGAAACTTGTTCAGGAACAGGTTCCACGGCGTCCACTTGATCAATCGATCAACCCTTCCCCGCAATTGAATTTTTAATTTGTGATCATCACTGACTGCAAACACTGCTGTGCCTATGTAACGTCAGGAAGGGCTTTTCGTAGAAAGGGCTAAGGGCTAATTCTCATAGATCACAGGCCATAGTATATCACTTCCACGTTTCTTTGTTTCTTGCACTGTACGTGGAATTGCTCATAATTCGTACGGGTGTTCCTTTCCTCCGCTCGCTTCATCATCGTCCTCCGTCCTTACTTCCGGAGACTGATAGGATGGGCGATTGAAAAATTCGTTGTCCCCAACTCCAACTCCGCTCTTCTCCCAATCCATTCAGCAGCATCCGCTATTTCTTTTTTTCTGCTTCCATTGCCTTTCAGCCTTTTGTCTCCTATTCAACTCCGATCTCACCCCCACCATCTCTCCTCTCTCTTTTCTCGCCTTATAAGCTGCTCTCTTGCCCTTTTTTTTTTTCTTCTTTCTTTTCTTCTTCTTCATCCCACCCCTCCCCTCTCTCCCCTCCCCAACACTCAACATGTCCACTGCTGCTGCTACTGCTGCCAAGAAGGCACCCACTCTCTTCCAGACCTGGTTCCGTGTCGAGGTCATCCCCATCTACGCCGTTCTCGGTGTTGCTTGCGGTGGTGCCGGTAAGTCACTTTCCCCTCCTCTCCTTCTCTTCTTTCTCTCTCCTTCTTACTCTTATCAGCCTCTCAAACATAGCAGGATCGGAAGCTTTTTGTACATTCAGGAACAACAATGACAACAACAACAACAACAACAACAACAACAACAACAACAACAACAACAACAGAAAGAGAAACAAAGGCGAGGGGTATCAGATCAAAAGAAATGCGACGAGCAAGTCTGTGCCCTTTCCTACCAACAACTGCAGTGCACTGTCATACCCTTCGACACACAGACTGCAAAAAAAAGAGGCCAAGCAACCTACCCTCGTTCCTGAATTTTCCATTCCTTCATGATAATCGAATGGACAAGCTCAACAAACAAACAAAAAATGACGGCAAGGGGTGAATTCGGATGGACGAAAATATTTTCTTGCAGCGGTCTATTTTCGGGTTAGCTTTCCTCTACCCAACAGCACCTTTCCGACCACCCTTCCCTTCATTGTAACCAACAGAACATGCATTCCTAACCCCCTTTTTCTCCCTTTCTCTCTGTCTTTATATCTATCCATAGGTTGGTACGTTTCTCGTCTTGCCCGTGGTCCCGATGTCACCTGGGACCGCAAGAACAACCCCCACCCTTGGTTGAACGTTGACCAGGAGACCCAGCTCAAGTTGATGACCGTCAAGGATGGCCAGAACTTCACCAAGACCTACTCCCGCGACCGCCTGTAAATTCTTGGTTCTCTGAACCGAGTTTGGCACAGCTGACGCCATTCAAGTAGACGGACGAAGACGACGACGATATAAACCAAAAAACCAAGTAATCGAGATTCAGGCATACACCCTGCACCGCAAGAAGCCGAGGAGGAGTGAAAGGAATCCGCTGCCCAAGAAACCGTTCTGAAGGAGGAGGTATTAAGGAAAGAGCTTTCTGAAGAAGAGTCAACACACACAAGGAGGAGGTTCTGGGATCAACAACATCATTGCGACCTTGATCAAGCCGAAGTGACGAACAGGATGGCTGCCTCGCTCTTCTTCTACTCCTTATCCTTTTCTTCCTTTCTTTTTCTACAGACCTTTTTTTTGTTGTTCGCGGACATCATTCACCCTTTCTCAGTTTTTTTTTCTTTGCTGCCTCAACTCTCACCCAAAAACAAGCAACCCCATCATTTCATTACGAATTTAGACAAAAGCCAGTTGTATTTCTATTGCCGGTCCATTATTAAAAACGCTACCCTGCAGGAAGCAAAAACCAAAAAAAACAACCCCCCCTCAACTCCTTTACTCATGTTAGTTGTTGATGCTGCATTGTCTCATGTCAATCAAATCCACATCGGAACCAAAAAAAAGCAATATGTATGTGTGTGTGTGATAGAGAGAAGCACAGGGCTCAATGGATCGAGTCGCTGCAGTTCTTGCAACCTCAATGACGATTATGAGAGAGAGAAACAACAGGGTCCTGCAAGCGCGGGGGGATATGTCCTGTTGGGTCTTGAAAAGTAAGACAGTCGAGAAGTGTGTTCGAACCACGGAGAGATGATGATGAACAAGATCGATCAACCCGAGATGAAAGAGGAGATGAGAGCAATAACTATATTATTCGCGCAATAACGGCATATGCTTGGGACTTTGCCTTGAATGAAAAGCGAGTGTACTAGTGCTATACCTGTGCCTGTTCCTGTTCCTGAACGATGATGCTGGAGATGATAAAGATAACCTTGCCTGATGAAGCAGAGGAGAGTAGGCTATGCGGTCATCGTAGGTTTATTAGTTTCTCCCTTCCCCCCGAAAAGCATGCACTGAAGGCTATTTATCTCTTGGTAACATCGTAACTTTGTAGAGGATGAAGAAGGATGAAGAAGCGATAAAAAATAACAACCGTGTCGAGCAATTGAGATAAGAGAGAGAGAGGGAGAGAGAGAGAGGGAGAGAGCAAACTTTCAACAGCAAAGTATGACAGCGTGTGTGTGTGAAAGGAATAGAAGAGAAGGTATGACAAGGGTATCCTTGTCTCTAATGTTCGTTCCACCCTAGCGTTCTTTTCCTTCGAAGAGAGGGACCTGAGCAGAGGCGTTATCTTTTGGTGGATTCTGTTCAAGCAAGTAAACTTTCTTGGATCATGGGCATGCAAAGGAAGGGGGTTTTTATCAAGGACTGCATGATTTTCACTTTGCACCTCGAAAAACGACGTCACTCTAATTGTTGAAAAGTGCTGCATTGACACAGTCGCCTCGCTCCCCATTCTCCTTCTTCTTCACATCACCCTTTTTCGCCTCTCTTCTGTCTTCTTTTCTTTTTCCTTTTTCCTTTCCGTACTCAACCCTATCACTTTCTGCACACTCAGACAACACGTGCTGTACTTGACTTGACTTGCCTTGTCGATTCATTACACTCTCCCCATTCGCTCTTAATTCACACACACACACACACACAATGTCCTTGCTCCAGACAACACTACCCGGCGAAAAGACAAAGGACAACCTGCGTCTGCTCGTCGTCTCGAACCGTCTTCCGGTCACCATCACCAAGGATGCCTCGGGAATCTACCAGTACAAGATGTCGTCCGGAGGACTCGTCTCTGCTCTCTCTGGTCTCAAGCGCATGATGAAGTTCACATGGATCGGGTGGCCCGGTCTCGATATCCCCGTCGAGGATCGCGCCCTTGTCCAGAAGGAGCTGCTCGAAAAACACTCTTGTCTGCCCGTCTTTATCGACGACGAGATTGCCGACATGCACTACAACGGATTCTCCAACAGGTATGGATAGGACTGGAGAATGAAAAGAAAGTGGGCACAGGTCAAAAGAGTTTGATCAATGGTCGATCTGTGGGACGAATGTTATATATCCCTTATTCACGTTCATGATAATGATAAGCGAGCACACAAACAAACACAACGGAGGCATCGGACCAATATTAATGTTCTCATTCTCTTCTGAATTCCCCGGATGACGATAAAAAATGATACGCGTGTGTGAATTCCTTTTGTTGTCTCCTTTTATAGCATTCTCTGGCCTTTGTTCCATTACCACCCTGGTGAGATCTCATTCAATGAGGAAGATTGGGGCGCATACCAGCAGGCCAACAGCCTGTTTGCCAAGGCCATCACAGAGATTGTACGCGACGGCGATCTGGTCTGGGTGCAGGATTACCATCTGATGCTTCTCCCCAGGTTGCTACGTGAGGAGGTCAAGAACCAGCGTACGGCGAATGAGCCTGTCAAAAACATCAAGATTGGCTTCTTCTTGCACACCCCCTTCCCCAGTAGCGAAGTCTACAGGTAATGGTTTTAATCAATCGATGCAGCACACTCACAGGGTGAGCAAGGACCCATGTTCATGTCCCTTTATCGTTATCTTTCATGCGCGCAAGAGCCATCTAAATCACCATCATCATGACGTCAATCAATTAACCTCTGCGCCTTTTTTTTGTCCTTCGTCTTGCAACTTTGCCGCTGCTGTTGCTTCTACCTGTTGCTGCTATTGAAAATAACGATAACAAACCATCTTCTGAATCGGCAATGACGCGACAGAATCCTGCCTGTCCGCAAAGAAATCCTTCTCGGCGTACTGAACTCTGATCTGATTGGATTCCACACCTACGATTATGCACGCCACTTCCTCTCCTCCTGTACTCGCATCCTCGGTCTCTCAACCATGCCCAACGGTGTTGATTACGAGGGCCGCTATGCCCACGTCGGAACTTTCCCCATCGGCATCGACCCTGAAAAGTTTGCCGAGGGTCTGAAGGAACCATCCGTCATCAACCGCATCCAGTCCCTGCGCGAAAAGTTCAAGGGTGTTAAGCTGATTGTTGGTGTCGACCGTCTGGACTACATCAAAGGAGTTCCCCAAAAGTTACACGCCCTCGAAGTCTTCCTGTCAGAGCACCCAGAGTGGATCGGTAAGGTGGTCTTGGTACAGGTTGCAGTCCCGTCCCGTCAGGATGTCGAGGAGTACCAGAACTTGCGTGCTGTCGTCAACGAGTTGGTCGGTCGCATTAATGGAATGTACGGAACGATCGAATTCCAGCCTATCCACTTCTTGCACAAGTCTGTCAACTTTGAAGAGTTGGTCGCCCTCTACGCCGTCTCGGATGTCTGTTTGATCTCGAGTACCCGTGATGGAATGAACCTTGTCAGTTACGAGTACATTTGCTGCCAGCAGGAAAACCACGGTGTCATGATCCTCTCCGAGTTTGCCGGTGCTGCCCAGAGTTTGAACGGTAAGACAGACAAAAATTGGTATTTGTCTGTCAGTGTTTATACATACAAGCATTTCAATTGACACTGACTTTGTTCGTGGTCTTTATTCTTATTAGGTTCCATTATTGTGAACCCATGGAACACCGGCGAGCTGGCTGATGCTATCTACGAGGCTGTGACGATGCCTGATGAGACAAAGAAGAGCAACCATCAGAAGCTCTTCCGTTATGTCAACAAGTACACTGCAGCTTACTGGGGTGTCAGCTTTGTTGACGAGCTGAGGAGAGTCTCGGAGGAGTTTGATCACCGCATGGCCCTTCCCAAGCTGACCATGGGACATGTCCTTGAGGCCCACAACCATTCTACCAAGAACAAGGTTGTCTTTTTCGATTACGATGGAACCTTGACCGCCACCCACAAGTTGCCCGAGTTTGGTGAGTTTCATGTACATTGTGTATCGCTGTTCACTTTACTATTTTATCAATGATGCCCAGCAATGGATGCTAATTGTCACCGCAATGCACTCTTTTTTTCATAGCCAACCCTGCAAGCCATATCATCCACAACTTGCAGGCACTCGCTGCTCAGCCCAACACCTATGTCTATATTCTTTCCGGCCGTGACAGAAAGCATCTTGACGCATGGTTCGGTGAATGCGGCGTTGGACTTTCGGCCGAGCACGGATGTTTCTTCAAGCACCCCCCAGGAGTGGCCAATGCAATGAAGCAGATCCGATCGGAGATGCCTAGCTCAGATGCGCTCGAGCCAGCCAAGTTAGTCAAGGACGCGGGCAATGGTTGGTTCCGTTCGGTCGATCAGGTGGATGCCAGCTGGCGTGAGACGATTCGCCCCTTGTTCAAGCATTACACTGAGCGGACACCCGGCAGTTTCATTGAGGAGAAGGAAATCAACATGACATGGCACTACCGCGAGGCCGATCCCGAGTTTGGCACCTGGCAGGCGACAGAGTTGCAGGTCAACCTGGAGAAGCTTCTGGCACACATGGCGCTGTCGATTATCCTCGGCAACAAGACATTGGAGTTGCGTCCTAGCAGCATTGATAAGTCGACGAGTGTGAAGGCGATCTTGAAGGACATCCAGGTGGATGTTGGCCCGGTCGACTTTATTCTGTGTGTGGGTGACGGAAAGACGGACGAGGCTGTGTTTTCGTGCCTGGGCAATGAGAGCATTGTGGGCCCAGACATTGAGGATGTGATCACCTGTACGGTCGGACAGAAGCAGACAGAGGCCAAATATTACCTTGCAGATGTGCCAGAAGTCGAGTCGTTGTTGGAGGACATGGCCAGGAACTAAAAGAGATCTTGGTCCATCCTGTTAAGAGAAGGAGTCATGAAGAGAAAAGAGGCAAGGCGTGGACTTCTTTTGCTCAGCCGACACAGACAGACAGACAGACAGACACAGCACACAAAAGTAAAAGATAAAAATCATTGCATGCATGGCACTCATATTCACACACATATTGCACACAGGCACAAACAACCTCACGCCTCAAAGATCTAATTTTTTTTCCCTCACGTCATTCTCACCTCTTGATATTTTGACTCGATTTTTGTATTTTTCCCTTTTTTTTCTTTTCTTATCCACAACCACACCTTCACTACACCACCACTACTACAACAACCAACCATGGCAAAGAGTACGTCGCTATTCCCCTCTGTGTCATTCGCTTGTTCCCCAACAACCACTCTCAAAGGACGTCTTGTATAGCAACACTCCATGCAACCGCAGCACAGGAGACTCGCTCGCTCGACTTGAAGAGAAGGAACGGGATGACCGAAAAGAGGGGGCTCAGGAACACTCGTTGCTACCGTTCCTGCTACTGGACGCGTGGACTGTTGACGACGGGAGGATATGGACCTGAGCGATTCCTTTTGTGGTTATTTTGGCGCTAATCGGTTCATGCCACCCACTTCAATGGCTTCTTTTTTTTTGTGTGTGTTTGCGGTGATGCCTTGGGAAAAAAAAGAGTCAAGCGAATTGGCGTTGATGTTATTCGTTAAGGATGATTGAAAGTGTTTGGTGATTAACTTGTCAGCAATGAGGGTGGACGCAGCTATTACCGACACAACAACAACAACAACAACAAACAAAAAAAAGCGAAGACCAAGGCGTACCCTCACCTAAAGAGAATGACAACCACAATGGTCTATCGGCCGATACAATGCCACCTTCGGGGGCGAGAACACACATCCACACCTCATCTAAGCAAACCCCACCCCATTGATGGCTAACATTCTCATATCCACGCTCTCTCTTTACTTATCATCTACCTTTGACTTCTCTCAAAATAGTTCCCCGTAACTTCAAGTTGATGGAGGAGCTCGAGAAGGGAGAGAAGGGCATTGGCGATGGCACCTGCAGTTACGGATTGACAGAAGGTGATGATATGTTGATGTCCAACTGGAACGGCACCATCCTCGGCCCTGGACACGTAAGTCAAATTTATTCTTTAGTATTTTTTATTTCCTTGCCCTGAACCTGAACCTGAATGTGATGCAAGTAACGAGACTGGAGGAGAGAGGTTCCTTTTTGTCGTTGTTGTTGGAGCGGTTACCAATTCGTCTCCTTTTGCGCCTTCACAACCCCCCGAGCAAAGATATAAGAAACTTGAACAAACGGGCCGTTTATCGGAAAGCGCAACTACAAAATAAGATCATGAGGTGTGGAAATGGTAGCAAGCAAGGGGGATGAGGAAGGAGGCGGTAGAGAGGAGAGTGCTTGTTCATGACAGGCAGACAAACAGCGTGGGGTTACAAAAGAAGGGGTGATGGTGAAAGCAAGCAAAATCAAGGTGGCGAGGACATTGATTTTTGATGGCAAATACAATACACGTCTTCCATCTACTTTTCTTTTCTCTTTTTTACTAATTGTCTCTGTTTCTTGCTCTCTCTTTCAATATTAGTCTGTTCACGAGAACAGGATCTATAGTCTTCGTCTGTACTGTGGCGAACATTACCCAGATGTACCTCCCACCGTCTCGTTTATCTCCCGTATCAACCTTCCCTGCGTGAACCAGCAAACTGGACTTGTAAGACGCCGAACAATCGAAGCCTTTGAGCTATCGTTCTTGACTTTTACTAGTTCGCAACCTATGGCACTTTTCCTTGTCATCGTTCTAACGCCTATTTTCTTTGGCATTTCTTTTTGTAATTGCAGATCGACTCATCGAGATTGTCTTGCTTGAGCAATTGGAAGAGGAATTACGGCCTCGAGACCGTCCTGACCGAGTTGCGCCGGTAAGATACCGAACATCCCCTAGAGGAAAACATCCCCTAAAGGAAAACATGGACATTTTTGATTCTACAGGGTACGGACAACATATAGACCCGCAAGTCAGAATGCTTACTTACTTGCCCCTCTCGCCTGTCCCTTTACTTTCTTCATTATCGACATTAGTGAGATGGCTATGCCCCATAACAGGAAGCTTCCTCAGCCCCCAGAGGGATCCGCCTACTAGACGCACCTTGTTTTTTCTTCTTTTCTCTATGTAGGAAGAATAAGAAAGAGGTAGAGTTTGGCACAAACAAATGAACAACAATACAAAAAAACTGATCCATTAAAAAAAAAGAGAGAATCGACTGTCTTGAGGGACTTCAATAGCTTCATTCTTACACAATGGGGAAAATTCGGGATATTATTTGAAAGCGGGAAGGGAGGACAATGGGCGCGCGAGAGTCATGCAGCAAAAACATTCAACAGGGCGCACGACAAGACAATATGGGAGAGATAAGGGTATTTTAATGCGTGCACTTTATGCTTCAAAGAGTGGTGCCTCGTTTATGGTCGAGTGGTGGAGGCAAGGTGGGATTTGTCGTTGCTGGTCAGGAACTCAAAGTGGTGGGTGGCCAAGTAGATGACAATCGCTACTGCGGCGACAACCATACCAATGAGATATGTCTGCAGGATGTAGTGGCGTCCTAGCGTGAATAGGCCTCGCGTAGGGCGGGAGAGGATGTATATCACTAGGATCATGAACAGGGCGGCAACGTAAATCAGGCCCACGTACAGGCCCTTTGGATATTGACATGCGACGCCTATGTAATGTAGGTAGAAGTGTGATCAGATCGGAGAAGGAGAGGATAGGTGAGTTTGGGGAGGAAAGGGGGGAACTAGGCGGGCTGTTGTTTGCACTTTATCCGGACGCCCAGAAAAGGCGACGACAATTTCACTTCAGTCAGCAAAATATGATTGTAAATAAATAATACGCCCAAAAGCAAAAAAAGTACTTTACCTGCAACGATACCGCCATAGAGTACGCCGGCCAAGATCCACAAAACAACCAACTTCTTACTACTCTTCCTGCTCCTGACACCCAACTGACTGCCATTCGTCGAGATCTGGCCAACTCTAGCCAAGTTGACACCCACGGGCAAGACCTGGCCAGAATAGGCCACCATCTCACACCATGACATGCCCAATGCTCCCAAGGCATACATGTAATGCGAGACGTTGTGTTCCCATGTATCCTGGATCAACAAGTACCCCTCCTTCAATTGTGTCGCCAGTGCGAGAGAGAGTTGGCCGCTGCCGGTGGTGGGTGGGTGGGTTGAGAGGCCGATGCCCTGGGAATACTGTTCGAGGAAGAGGACGATGATGTTCTTGAAGAATGCGGCGGCGGTGTGGATGGCAGCGCCCGTGACATAGACGATTAGGAAGAATGTGAATACGTTTGCGAGGAATGCCCTGAACGTTGGAGTGTGCTTCCATGACGACGATTTCCTTGAAAGGACCGGGCTGTAGTGTCGTTGGCCCTGCTGCTGTTGATTCTGGTGTTGATTCTGGTCGTCCAATGAAATGTTACCTCCGGACCTTCCTCCACCTCCGCCCTGCTTATTGTCCAACGCCACATCCCCCCAAGAACTAGACCTCGCCAACGTCGACGTACGATAGTTATTCCGGCCATCATCATAGCCGATGGGACCCCGATTCCAGCGCCTCATAAGATCCGAGGAATAAAAGAACCAAGAATGAAACAACCCACTGACAAAGGGCTCAATCAGCCGAACAGCATCCCGCCAGGTATACCAATTCCCCCAAGTCGCGTCGGGCCCGGCCTTGATGACGACGGGGATGACGGTGAAGACGATGGTCGAGAGGGTGGTTAAGGTTTGGAGGAGGAGGATCTTTCCTGGCGGGGTGATCGTGGATAGGTATATGGGTGCGATGGACTCGGCGTCGTCGTCTTGGTTGTTGGGGTAGTTGCTGTTGTTGTTGATGTTGTTGTCGTTGTCGAGGCGGAGGGGTGAGGACGATGAGAGTTGGTTATTGTGGTCGTTATCGTCCTGGTGCTGTTGTTGGTGTTGAGGATCAGGGTAAAAGGGGTTGTGGTACGAGTTCGGAGGAGCGTTATTGGATGCTGCAGGGTTGAATTGCAGTTGGTGGTCTGAAGGGTAGACATATCCGCCAGTCATGCCGTTGTTACTGTTGGTATAGGCGAGTTCCCCTGCAGGTGGCAGGTTGTTTATGTTGGATTGGTTGTGGTCCATGATAGGTGCAGAAGAGAGGGAGGGGACGCGTTGGTAAGGGGCTTGACTTGAGGACGGCGACGACGATGGAAGACCTCTTGTGTCCATTTGGTTTCTGGAAGGAAGAAGTAGGGATGGAAAGGATTCGAGTTGAGGAAGGAAAGAGGAGATGAATGAGGAATGAAAAAAAAGAAGAGGAGGAATAAAGCGTCAAGGTGGTGCGGGCTTTCCCCTTTTATCCCTTCGTTTGTCTCTCAGCCAAATTTGCGTGATATTTTTCATTTATCGAGGATTACAATAAAATGGGTTGAGAGACCAAACCTACCGATCTAAAACAAACGTAGCGTGCTTTTTCAGGGTGCTGTCGTCCAGGTTGCTATCTCATAACCATCATCCCCTCCTCCCATCATATCCTAGTCTCCACTTCACAATCCTCATTCATGCCCGAAACGATTTTGCCCAACCCAACTAACAACTCTAATATCGAAATCCTTGGATCCTTTGATGTCCATAAGACGCCATTTACGAATGAACCAAATGAGTTGCTGTTCTCAATATCTCGCCGCCCTCAGGAGCTGTTTAATGATGATGACATCAGTGATGATGAGCCGTCGACACAAGGAAAGGTCGAGGATGGTTGCCTATCGTCTTCCTCTTCCTCAGCGCAAACAAGGATGACTGACAAGAAGATTGACAGCAAACCATGGACTCTCCCACCGCCCCCGGACTTCAAGAATATCTTCATGCACACAAAGGAGGAGCACGCGGCACAAGCTGATGTTCCACTCGCATTTCAACTCGACGGCGAACTTTCACCTTTGACCCTTTTCACGCTCTTTTTCTCGGATTCGGTATGTTCACAAATTGCAGTCAATACCAACGCTTATGCAGCACCAAAAGGAGCTGGAGAAGTAGAAGGGTCACGCCACTGGGAGAATACGACCTTGGGCGACATACATATATTCCTAGGCATCCTTGTCTACATGGGCATATTCCGACTACCCTGCGTCGAGGACTACTGGTCAACAAACCCAAACTACCCCCAACATTCGATCGCTCACTTCATGACCCTTGTTCGCTTCCAACAATTGAAGCGTTTCCTTCACGTCTCCCACCCAGACCTACTGGAAGAACATTGGTACTCGAAGGTAAAGCCTCTTACCACTAAATTGGCACAGGACTTCGCTCGCTACTACATCCCATCCTCCAATGTCTCCATCGACGAGATGATTGTTCGCTTTTCAGGAAGGAGTAGCCACACTGTCCGCGTAAAGGGCAAACCCACACCGGAAGGCTACAAGATTATCGCTCTTTGCCAAGCAGGATACACCTACTCCTTCCTCTACACATCTCGCATCAATTCTATCGTTGGCGTAGAAAAAATAAACGGACTGACTATGACCTCTTCAGCGGTTGTTCATCTCGCCAAAACACTCCCTTTTTCGACTCGTCACTACAATATTTACATGGACAACTACTTCTCCAACATTCCCCTCTTTACTTATTTGCGCCAACTCCAAATCGGCGCTTGTGGTACTGTCCGTGTCAACTCTGCTGGAATCCCCAAATGACTCAAGGTGCCGAAGGCCAAGAAGTTAGCATGGAACACTCTATCTGGCATTGTCGTCAATAATCAAGTCCTCGCTGTCATTTGGATGGATAATGCACCCGTCGGCATGCTCAGCACCATCCACAAAATCCACATGGACGATAACTTTATCGAGCGTATCCGTCGCTGTCCTCGCAACACCAGTACGAACGCCGCTAATGCTCGGGCAGTATTCAATGGAAATCCTACAGTTCCGCTCAAAATACCGAAATTGATCGATGACTACAACCACAACAAGAATGGAGTCGACCTCAGCGATCAGTTCAGATCATACTACTGTACCCAACTAACCGTTGTCAGGACATGGATGCCCCTATTTTTTTGGATTCTCGACACCACCATTGTCAACTCTTATCGTATCTATACCGTGCGAAAGGGGACTCTTACCCACAAGGAATATCGGTTCAAATTGGCATGGGCCTTGATCGCCTCAGGAGCACTCAACCAACACCATTCCATGATGAAAAAACACAAACGAGAGTGCGATGCGACGTCTGACAACCACCCCAGGAAGACCATGCACGTTACCAAAAACACTGTGCTACCCCCCAGCCGTTTTGTCCCCGGTTTCCACTATGGCCAATACTCCGATACCCGAGAACTCTGTCTCCTTTGCCGCTACAGAGCCACTGTCCTCAAGGACAAGAGCTACAAGAGTTCGACGCAGACAAACTGGGTCTGTAAGGATTGCAAGGTTCCTTTGTGAATGTCAAAAGCCCGTAACTCCTTCGAGGATTTCCATCAGAATAGCAAGAGGACAAGAAAACATATGAAGAATGAATAAAGCCCTCTACTGCAACATTCGCATGAGTGTTACGCTTTTCACGCAGTTGGGTGGCTTAGACGCGAGATTCATGTGTAACGCGGTCCGCTCACAATTATTTTGGCTCCTTGACCTTTCCACCATCCACACACCTTCCTCTTTCCATCCACAAACCAACGCCACCATCCACACACCAAGAAACACCACCCCCCTACACACAAACAAACACCAACAAACAAACACCGACAAACAAATCCAAACGAAAACATACAACTAGCATACACTTCTGAACACCGACCTCCCCTTTCACATTGGTATGACCGAGCACAAGCCTGCTTGCAGCTGTTTGCTTCTAGGTGTTGCCATTGCTAGAGGACTGATGCTAATCGCGGCTATTTTTTTCCCTACTTTTAGTCGTCATCATGGGTGTGGACGACCTGAGCGCCAAAATAAAGAAAACTACAGGAAAAGTCGACTCTCTCCTGGACAAGACTTGTCATGTCGACCTCTTCGGATCATTCTACGCCCTCCTCAACACACGCGCATATCACACGACTGCCAAGCACGTCGCCAAAGAGGCCAGAGTGCAGGTGTCTTTTGAGGTGTCGTTCGATCCCGTGTCGTCGGACAAATCGTTGAAGCGACCTAACATCGCCCCACATCCACCCTGCAACATCACAGGAGCTCGACCAGCAAAAGCACCTCATTACACCTCGTCGGACCCCGTATCTCCAGCTCAAAATAACGCAGGATCAACTACTACAGAGATCGATCTTCCATCTTCCTCGAATCCAGCAACTATGCTGATCGACACAGGGCTACGGAATACGGCACTATCCTCCGCTGGATCCAGCTCACACGACCCAAATCGATCAGGTCCGCCAGTAGCACAAGGAGGAGCTGATGGTGGCAAAGATTTGACTCTGCCCGACACAGACCAGCCAGAGCAACCTCAGCAAGTCACGCAGGTCTCACTCGTGGAGGCAATCGAGGAATTATTACTCCAAGAGCCCAAGGAGATATACATCGACCTGGATGGCCATCCGTCAGTGACACCCCAGCAACGAGAGGACAAAGAGGTATATTTTCGTGGCCACATCCAATGCACACGAGCGTATTTGCGCGGATAGATTCAAAAATAAGGGATATGATTGAACATAATGCATGACTCTTTCTTTTAATTATTTGGCATTTTAGTACTTTGGACACATCGGGCTGGTCCTTGATAACCTCCTCTCAAGCAGATTGTCCAAGGTGCACACTATCATTCACGTCGACGGACCGCGTTCTCTGGAGAAGGAGGCCGAGCACAAGCGACGCGACGAACGTCTTCAGAAATCGCTCGACAAACTCACCCCCACCGCCACCAAGGACAAATTAGAATCCGGATTGGGACTCAAGGCAGTGTATAGGATATGCCGCTCAGCATACAGATTGCCGCCAGAGGCATTGGAACAGGTGCTGGGGGTGATGGAGAACAGTGGTTGGAGAGTATGCCGTTGTGCACACCAATCAGACCTGTGCATTGCGTCGCACGTCCGTCGAGCTCCTGAAAAGTCCGCCATACGTGTCGTAACCCACGATTCCGACCTTTTGGCCTATGAGGATATTCATTCCATCACCATTCCGGCTGGGATTTCAAGGGACTGGACCACATACTACAAGGACGAGCTCCTGATCAAGTTGGATCTGCCCTCCCCGGCCCATCTCGTACTCGTGTCTATTGTAACAGGAAACGATTACACCCGAGGGGTTCCCTACTACGGATTGGCGAGCAACACGGCAATTATCCGGCATTTCGACTTCGGGGTTTTGGGGGCAATGACAGGACAGGATCTGGTAGAGGGGTTTGAGAGACTGGTGGGTGACTATTTGGATGTGGTGAAGGCCAAGGCGGAGGATACTCGGAGGTCGGCAGGCCAACGACAACAACAACGGCGACAACGCCGAGCGCAACAAATTCGCCGCCAGACACCTCCACCAGAGTCCAAAGCGGAACACAGGGATCAAAAGCGCATAGATCGCGCAGATCTGCAGCTGGCTGTGACCGTGGCTGATTTCCAAGGTGCAATCGGGGCGTTCGTGTCCTGTCAAGAGTCTCCACAATCAACCGATGGGTCCCGACCACCTCCTGCATATGACGCCGTCCGTTCTACACTCTTGGAACTAGAAATGAGGAAGGCCAGGATCAATTCTTCCAGAGTCAAGAGAATCGGGGTTGCCGCCGAGACAAGAGATGCCTCGCTTGTTGCCGAAAGCTTGATGGATGCGGGCGAGCCTTCAACTCTCATAGTCCCCGCAGCGAGTGCCGGTCAGCAGGGCTACTTCGACTCTGGTCGCGGCGGTAAGGCCAAGGCGGAGCGGACAAGGAAGCACAGAGGTCCCCGCAAAAATCGAGCCAACAGGAAAAGGTCCAACAAGTGGAGGAAATCCATGTGAGTGGAAACTTGGATAATTTTTGCGTATTGGCGACCAAATTGCTTTCTGCAGGCTTTTTACTAATACTCTCAATGTTGATATTATTTCTTGTTGTTAGGTTCCGAAGAAGGACCGATCTTGCCCGCCCCTATGAACCGCATAAGGTCTTTCTTCCTGATGCCAGCCCAGTGGAAGAGGACGCGCTCCAGCATCTAACGCCATCAATACCTCGACCATTCAAACCCAAACCCGACTCCAGCAATAACAACAACGACGATAACGGCAACAACAAGAGCAACAAAAAGAAGCGCAAGAAGCCCTTAAAGCTACCCGCGGACAAGGAGGGGCCTAAAGCTCTAAAGAAGTCATTCGGTGGCGCTTTCAAGATGTTGGTACTGACAGCTGGATCACTTTGGGGCTGTCTCCGCCGCGCAACCGATCTGACATCAGAGGAGATTTCCCGAGTCGTCAACAGGATCGACCGCGCCGTCTTCGTGATGAACTCCGCGAAACATGTCGTCATGAAGATGCTCGAGTTCTTTATTCTACGACGTCTGTTGCCTGCGCGAAACCAAGAGGACCGACCCCAGGACAGTCATGAGGAAGACGCTATGTTCGGCGACGATGCTCTTGATCTTCTGCTTGGAAAGGACAGCGCAGGGGTCATCATTCGAAATCTCATCTCATTCGCCCTTCGAGGATCCACATCGGCGCAGGCTGGACGGAGAGCAGAAAAGGCCGAGTCTATTAGCGCATATGCTCTCGCCATTTCTATCTTCGAGCAGTTCCGAGCTTTGCACCCATCAATCAAGGCGCTCAACCCTGACCATATACCCCTCTCGAATGTCCAGCAGGATTTGGCGCCAAAGATCTGTTTAGCGATCAAGATGCACTACCGAAAACTGCCAACAACTATAGTCAACAAGGTAATGCTCTACTAACAAGTTGCATGCGAAAGTGCGCATTGAAAGTGGATAATACATATATAAAATTATAATAACGCCAATTCATTCCTTTTTCCTTTATGAATCTAGATGAAAAAGCTTGGTTTCGAATCATCGACAATTCCCTCCTGTGATGGAGAAGAGGAGGAGGAGGAAAAGGAGGAGGAGAACGGCGATGAATTTCGGGATGTAGCGGAGGAGACCACCAATAAGTCCGACAAGATTGTCTTCGAGGCCGGTCACATCAAGACCTGGTGGGATGAGATGCTCCGACTCCCATACGACCAGAGACCGCGCTTCTGTATTAGTACGCAGTTGGGTGACTCGTTTCTGGACATCAGCGAGGAAGCTATTCTGGCAATTCTCTGGGGAGAGTCATCGGGAGATGTGGGCAGGACGATGGAAGCCAAGGTGCGGAGTAGGACGGAGGCCAAGGAGGACCAGGAGTCTGACTATGGCGGGTTGATGAGGCGTCTCTTTATCGGCAAGCCAGAGGATCTGGTGAACAAGGAAGTCAGGCAGACGACATATGGCAAAAAGACTACGACCATGCAGGAGCTCTCTACCCAGCACCCACAGATCTACGGACAAGGATCCCTTGCACGCTACACCATCCGAAGGGTTAACGTCCTGCGGGAAATACACAATCAAAATCTGACAACACCCACACAGCCAACAGCAACAACATCAACTTCATCATCAACAGCGGCGCCACAGCTACCCGCGCTGCCTTCACCCACCGGCTCCATGGCGACAAACAAACGATACGCATTGAGCAACTACCTAAGAACTGATGGTCATCAGCTACAACTACTCGCGTTTGATGTGCGACGAGGTTGGGAATCCTCTTTCTCCAAGAACAAGCTTATTCACAGGATCGAGACAGACTTCCCGACAAGACAGTCCATTGTCGATTGGTTTGGGGATGACATGTCCTCTGTCGTTGTCGTCGGTGTGGACCCAGGAGAGAAAGTCAGCGGCACCTTTTGTGTGAGGCTCGGCGAGGATTGGGCCGTGAATCTGTTGGTCAAGAGAAGCTCTTTATACCAGCCGACGTTAGCGCATCGGAGCTGGATGCAGGACTTGAAAGGAGCCCAGCCGACGGCGGACTCCGGGGGGGCACTAGATGGAGGCGTGTGGGCAGTCCAGGACCCATCCAACCCGACCAAGACGACCCTACTACCAAGTATGTTCGATATTGAAGGAACACTGCAGCCGACCTCGTACGAAACATGGGACAAGATGGTCGAAGCCCACCGAAAGTACTTGTCTGCGGAACCACTGCTTCACGAATTCTATGGATCGCATACTGTCAAGTTCGCCAACTACGAGCACCGCAAGGCCAAGTTGTCGGAGATGGATCTTGCTGTTGCTGGTGTCATGAGGTTGGTGGAAGCGGCGGTATCAAGGATTCCCGAGGGCAAGACCCCTACCGTACTGTTTGCATGGGGAAACGGATCGTTCCGTTCTGGCTACAACTTAACCTCGCAGCATATGACATTGCAGCGACGGCTTGCTCAGAAGGTAATAGCACAAACGGACACGGTTCAAGTGAAGCGCCAATTCAATGAGAATAAGTGCAAGTACCAATCAAATTGCTTTATTTTCTACAAACTCGTAGGCCCGCGAAAGAGGGTACTTGGTTCTGTTAGTCGACGAGTACCTGACTTCTACAATGTGCCCCACTTGCGTTGCGGTTGGAGTGTCAACAAGATTGGCGAAACCCTCAATGCGTGTTTGCGCCTGTTTGAAGTGTCAAAGGTGGATTCATCGGGATGTGGTCGGGGCGCATAATATTGCGCTTGTTGGCGAGCAGTATGTGCGGACTCTTGGACGACCAGCGCCCCTACTACGACCTCTATAATTTCAACATCGACCATGTTGTAGAACTATCCTAACCCTTAACAGGGGAAGGGATATTCCCGAACCTCACAGCCCTCGCTTTTGGAGTTTTAAAAAGCTGCAGCCCACCCTCTGGACAGACAGGCACAAGACCCTGAAGTCAACTGCGATCTAAAAAAAGGCCTGCTTAGCCATGGTGTCACCAACAAAACAAAGGCAACAAAGCAGATATAAAAAAGCGCATCATTGATACCTGACCGGGGCTATTCTTCTTTATATCAAGGGAATCGAATAAAAAGTACTGCCTCACCTTCGACTGATCCTTTGGTGAATGCCTGTCTATGCAAGCAATAGAAACAGCGACTTGTTCTCGCCATAGAAAACAGAACAAAAGAGAAAAAGGAGACCAAAAGCCAAAAGATTATGAAGAGAGTGGGATTTGAACCCACGCCTACGAATAGACCGCGGCCTTAACGCGGCGCCTTAGACCAACTCGGCCATCTCTCCAAGGGATAATCCTTTGTTGGAGGAATTTTCTCCAGTGGTACTTTGTACTCACAATGAAAAGTTAAATTATCACATGACACAGGCACGTGCCGACAGTGTCACGTGCTGTATTCAGAAAAAAAAATGAGCTTGCTTGATGTTTGAAAGTGGTTCACCGGCCTTCCACAGCGGCTCCTTCCTCTCTTTCGTATCCATCCACTACTACTACAATGAAGCAGTCCATCGGTATGAACAGCATGCATGATCCTATTCCTCATATCCATCCATCAGCATATCCTAGCACTACACATATATTACACATCAAGCCCTGGCGCCAATCCATCGATCATCAACCACCTGCACAAGCAGACACCCATCCTCTACACTTGGCCATAAAAAAGAGGATTGAAATACTTGTGATTTGACTAGCTTTGAAGGATGATGTGATGTGAGAACCACACACAAGAGAAAGGAGGGGAGAGTATGTTCACTCACAGGGCAGGGCTGCAGCAAGGAAGACGGGTGCTGGCTTGGAGACAAGACTCTTACTGTCGAAACAGGCGGACTTTTTTCTTACTAGTGTGTATCAGGAACCAGGCTAGCTTATTCTTGCACGCCACCAAATATGCAATTGATCAGTTTTCTAACCAACACTTTCTCTCTTTCTCACCTTCATTCTACACCTCTTTCGCAAACCTGTAACCACCCTATACCCTCACTGTTACTCCCTTGCACCACCACCAATACACATATCCATCCACCCTATCCATACCACCACCCCCTCTCACAACACCTCCTACCTCACATTTACAACACGCGATGGACTTTCATTCTACAAACCCCATGTAGATGTTAGCTCCTCCCGCCGCAAGAGCAGAAAGGCCCACTTTTCTGCTCCCTCTGATCTTCGTCGCAAGATCATGAGCGCGTCCCTCTCCAAGGAACTCCGGGAGAAGCACAGCGTAAGTTTTGCGGTCGGGCCACCCCTCTGAAAGATAAAGAAGATATTCTTTTCTTTCTACTTCATCAATAACGAGACTAGACTTTGATCTCGGTAAGGCGAACTTGCGCCCTCCTATCTATCACCTATCATCATGATGGACAAGATTTACGACAGAGCGACGACAGTACAGCTGTGTGTGGGCAATTTGTTTACAGTATCACGGCTCAACATAACGTCCTTCAAGGAGGGTACAGCTACCAACACACCGACCGAACTTGACCGCCAGCATTACCACCTTGAACGATATCATTTGCAGCAACTCAATTGGATCGTCATGCAACCATCCTCGACTGTATCAGCAACAACAAAAACCGGTGCCACCAAATAGGACACCACAAACAAGCCTAGAACGACGCAGACACCTAACAAGCATCCGCCCTATTCAATTATCTCCATGTCAAAAAAAATAGGCTCGCTCGCTCCCTATCCGCAAGGATGACGAGGTCATGGTTGTCCGTGGCTCTTTCAAGGGCCGTGAGGGCAAGGTTGTCCAGGTCTACCGCCGCAAGTGGGTCATCCACATTGAGCGTGTCAACCGCGAGAAGGCCAACGGTGCTGCCGTCCCCGTCGGCATCCACCCTTCCAAGGTCGTCATCACCAAGGTCCACATGGACAAGGACCGCAAGGATCTTCTCGACCGCAAGGATCGCTCCAAGAAGACCGAGGCCATGCAGGAGTAAACTTTTTGTTTGCTTTTCTCTTTGCTAGCCAACAATCTTGAAAAAAAGTGTTCAACTTCTTTTCTTTCATTCTGTAATAAAACCAAAAGTACTTGTAATTTTTTTCCTGTTCTCTCTTATGTCTGCCCTATCCCATGTGTGCTTTGTTTAGTTTGGGCGAAGGACCTGAACGCCAAAATGAGAGAAGCAAAAAAAACAAAACGCGACTTAGCCCAATCCAAGTCTCACTCTTGTAGCATTGAGCTTTTCGTTTCCCAGGCGGCACCCGTCCTTGTTCGAACACGATCTTACTATTCATTTCGCAAACGCACGCCAATGTCCTTTTTTTCCTCAATCCAAAGCGACAATAAGAAACCAAAGACGCCCAAAAAAATGTGTTTTTTTGCGATTTCTGTATTGAAGAGGTTTGTTTTGTTCCTTGTTTGTGGTTTCTCGAAAATAAAGATTGCCTCGGTGGGTGCAAAGCAAGATTTACTTGAGGGGAATGAAACGGGAAGAGTGAGTGGCACCAATACCGGGGCGACCGTGCTTGACGGGCTTGTAGGTGATGGAGAACTCTCCGAGGTAGTGACCAATCATCTCGGGCTTGATCTCGACCTGGTTGAAAGTCTTTCCGTTGTAGACACCAACGACGGAGCCGATCATCTCGGGGACGACGATCATGTTACGGAGGTGGGTCTTGACGACGGCGGGCTTCTCGAGGGCGGGGGCGTCCTTCTTGGCCTGACGGAGCTTCTTGATAAGACCCATGGGCTTGCGCTTAAGACCGCGCTGGAAACGTCTGCGGGGGCGGGCGTTGACGAGGTCCATCAACTGCTCGGACGAGAGGTCCAAGAGCTTGTCGAGATCAATACCGCGGTACGAGAACTTGCGGAAGGTTCTCTTCTTTCTCGCATCGAGAGCGGCGGCGTCGTGGTTTTCGTCAGCCTATGTGGGGAGTAGGTAGATGGGTTGTTGTTGTTGAGTATTCTGATTCCGTTGTAGTGTTTGTTTGTATTGTTCCTGGTGGTTCCTGCAGAGTTGACCATATGTTCCTTCCTCCTACACCGATGCCACCTCCCATTCCATACGTGTTCCCTTTCTCTGGTGAGAGCATCGGAATCCTGATTCCTGGCTCAGTCGGATGAAGTAAATAGTGATTCCTGTTCCTGTCCGACCTTCTACACTCCAAGAGAGAAAAAAAAGGCGATCGTCGTTTCTCTGACCGGAGTTGCGTTGACTGTTCTGAACGTTGTAGCGAGAGAACCGGTAAAAGGCAGCTCAAAAAGTTGACAGGGCACAAAGTGCCACCAGTTCCTGTGTTGAGTATGTGTGTTTTGCTGGAGCCGAATAAAATACAAGTCGTTTAGACTTGTAGTTGAGTGCTCTTAAAAAAAAGTGCTCTCACTCCTGTAGAGGTCGCCGTGATGGAACCGGTTGTGTCGTTGAACGATCGTTATGTTGTCTGCTTTGTTGAATAAGCAATTGTCGACTCGAAGAGCAATCAGATCGCACCTCCAACACACACCCCCCCTTCTCTGTACCATCCAGATCCTTCATCAGTTGATCGTGATCTCTCTTTTTTTTCTGCATAGTTCCTCCTCTCCTGAACAGTTGGCAATAGTCCCGTTCCGGATATCCCTCCTCCCCCCTCTCCACTCCCCCCGTCTCCTGTTGAATGATATCGATGGATGGATGGTTGACCATCTTGTCGTAACGCCCTTGGATGCTTTTGGGGGTGGATGATGTCCTTGAACTCGAGAAAAGTGATTGCTACCGCAGTCACGCACCATATTGAATAAGTTTGAAAGGAAGTTCCAACCAATGTTCGCCTTGCTGGCATATAAAAAAAGAGATTCTTAAGGGGATGTTCTCTTTCTCACGTTCCATTTGATTTTCTGCGCCATTCACTTCCTGCGGCACACCGCGCCCTCCTGCGGCACGTACTGACCCCCCCTCCTCGCACAGGAAAAAATGCAAGCAGAAACGGTTCTCTTTCATCCCAAGGTAATAAAGAAAGGGCGTAGGTTGGTGCATATGTTGGCCTCGTTAGTGCGTTGGGGGCAAGGAAGAACAAACGGACACTTTTCTGATTATGCGGAACAACAACCCTGAACGGTATCTTTTTTTTTTTTCCACTTTCAAATGTCGTTCGTTGACTTTGCCATTTCGTGGGCGCGGCAAAGGCGCAAAACACAGGACAAACGTTGAAGAGAATAACGAAAAGATAAACTGCTTAAGAAGGACTGGAACTGGAACGCTCCCCCCCCCCCCCTGGGCTGATGTGTATCCGTTCAGATTCATGCACGCGCACACACACTATCATCGCCATTCATTCGCCCTTTTTAGAGGGGGAAAGAGAACGGACACACCTGTACTTTCGACACCTCCGAGCGACTGTCATCGACCCACAAATTGACATGTTCAGATGACCTCGAGGAAAAAATAACGCCCCGGGTTTTCTCGCCTTCCGTTCCTTGAATCGGCTTTGCTCTTGTGATCAAATCAATCAAAGACCTCCCCTTGCAACTTTGCTTTGCTTGATCCTGTGCACAATCAATCCCCTACCGTTGACGCTTGTAGTAACAAAAAATTAATAGGGTTTGCCACAAGATGAAACGGATAGAAACAAAGAGAGAGAAAAACAAAGAGGATGATGATGATTAAAGATGCTTCTGTTTTTTATTGCTTCTTCCATTTCGCAACAAATTAGTAATTAAGGTAGAAAAGTGGGGGGGGATGTTGCTAACGTGAAAAAAATGGAATACAACTTTTTTGTGTGTGAAGAGATATTAGGGAGGGGGTAAAGATACAGCTTTTTGGTTTGGTAAAAAGGGAGTAAGAAAATGAATAATGACGATGAACGAATTTTGAATAGAAAGACGAAGAAAAAGCAAAAGAGAGGAAGGGTACATGGGCCACAATGAAAGGAGTGCGAGAGGAATGGGCAATTCAGACAGTCTATGTGAACGAGAGAGATAGAGAAAATGAACGTTGGTTAGTTTATGGGATGCCGATTGCATAATCCGTGTGGTTGTTTTGGTTCAGCCCGAGAAAAAGAGTGCATAAATCCCGAGAAGGGTACAAGCGACGAGAAAGAGAGGGACAGGGATAGTAGACGAATGAGAAGATAAACAAAGGATGTGCACGTAATGTGTCAATGGGTCGATGGGAACAGGAGGAGCCGAGGTCATGTCATATTGTATTTATGAATGGGTTTGTGGCGTGAGTGTGTTATGCATGGTGAAGACACGCTGTGGTGGTTGCGGCTGGAAATGGACAGGGGCATGGGAACATGAGGAGTACAAAAGGAGGCACATGGTTGACCCAAAAGAGGACTGAGGGAGACCCAAAAAAGCACGATCCATGCCACGCTGAAGTAAGGTTCCTGAGTCGGGTCGAGATGTCATATGCTCACAGCACTGGATCCATCCATTGGTACGACCATCGCAAGGAAGAAAAAAAAATATGATACCAACTGTTGCATAACAGCTAAGAAAACGAAAAAGAAAAAAGAAAAGAAAGGGAATGCTTACCAGTCTCAGTCGTCCATATTTAGCCAACGCGTATCACTGACGAGTCTCGAATCAGGTCAGCCCCCCTCCGGCGTCCATCCATGTGGTCACATCCATTATCCGTTGGTTGGTTGGCAAAGAGAGAAAAACAGCGCAGGCAACTTAGTGGGCGGCAACAGCGACGGCAGTCTTCTCAACAGCAGACTCGGGGACAACGGGGGTAGCTTCCTCAACAACAGCGGGGGTCTCCTCCTTGGCGGGGGCAGCGGGGGCGACCTCAGCCTCGGCAACAGCGGGGGTAGCAGCAGCCTCAGTCTCAGCAACCTCAGCGACGGGCTCAGCCTTCTCTTCGACCTTCTCCTCAGTGGTGGCAGCAACGGCCTTCTCCTTCTTCTCCTTCTTGTTCTTGAAGAATCCGATCGAGAAGCGCTTGCTGATCTTGGAGGAAAGGGGCACAGAGGCCTTCTCGGCGGTGGCGGGGATGGCAGGGAGCTCAGCAGCGGCCTCCTCAGCTGCAGTGGTAGCGACCTCCTCAGCACGAGTGACGACTTCCTCAGCGGCAGCAACAACCTCGGCCTCGGTAGCAGTAGCAGGAACTTCCTCAACGATGACAGCAACGACCTCCTCGACAACAGCGGGGGTGGAGGCAGCGGCCTCCTCAGTGGCAGCAACGACGGGGGCGGCTTCCTCGACGGCAGCGGTAACAGCAGGAGTCTCCTCAGCAGCGGCAGTAGTCTCGACAGGGTCGGCAGCTGCGGGCTTGTCAGCGGGGGCGGGAGCAGCCTTCTCGGCCTTCTCGACCTTGGGCTTCTTGTCCGACAACTTCTTAAAGCTGCTGGTGAGCTTGCTGATCCAGGACTTCTTCTTATCGGCCTTGGAAGTGGAGGCAGCGGCGGCCTCTTCGGTGGTGGGGGTAGCAACGACCTCAGTGGTGGTCTCCTCGACAATGACGATGGCAGGGGTCTCCTCGGTGGCAGCAGCAGCCTCGAGAGGGGTGCCATCTCCGTTCAAGACGGGGTTCTCAGAGGGCTCGACAGCGGTCGAGAAGGTAGCCTCAGTGGCGACGGCCTCGGCGGCGACGGCCTCCTTGGCGACCTCGGGGGCAGCAGCGGTCTCAACAGCGGCAGCGGGGGTAGTCTCCTCCTTGGTGACGGCGGGGACGGCAACAGGGGCCTCAACAACGGGTGCGGTGGTAGTATCGGTCATTGTAATGATGTGAAAGGTGTGATGTGTTAGTGGGTTGAAAGAGAGTTGTCGAAGACGAGAGGGATTGGAGAGTAAAGAGGATGAAGATTGGGGCGAGAGAGAGAGAGAGTGATAGAGAGTAAGAGTAGAGAAGAAAGACGGAGCAAAAAAGGGAAGAGGGAAAGAAGTAAAAGAAAAGAAGGAAAGAGGAGAGGAGAGGATATTCCAGGAGGTTAAATAGTCGGCGGTGGATGTGGATGCGAGATTGAGCAACGAGGTGTCTGTCTATTGTTATTGTTCTTGGTTGCGGTTGACGGGGCATTCATCCATCGTCAGTGCTCGCATTGAACATTGTTCGGCTCTTTTTTTCTCTATTTATTACTATTGAGTGCATGTATACCCAAAGTGTAAAAAAGACTCTGCAGGTATTCAATCCCTATTCAGTTTGGAACTATGGACAATCGACTTGCCGACCACCATCGACCATGGTAATAGGAAAATAAAAATGTATGAATCGATAGACAAGCACATTACAGAAGGCGAGAAAATAAATAAAACTTTCTTTTCTCTTGCATACATCTTCAATGAGGTCTGACCCTCGCTTCTCCTTCATCCTCATCCCTACTCTCGTTGTTGTTTTTTTTACGTTTGTTTCGTCTTGTGTGCCTTTTTTATTTCGATGTCATTTCCTGCACTGTATCTTTCTCTCGAGTAGAAGGTCTATTCGTAGCCCTACTTTTTTTTTTTCTCTCTCCCTGTTCTTACTTCGTTGGTGTCATGACAAACACAAAAGACGACGTCAATGTCGACAACGACAGGTAGACACGACAAGCAGGGACATTCCGCTGCTACTGACTCGGCCCTTTTTCTTCACTTCTTCCAACTTACTCCCACAACTGCTACTAACTCATATGTCATGCATTCACTCACTCCTCTTGGTCTTTGGTATGGCTCGATGTGCTCATTCTCTTTGAATAAGAGTATGGTTTCTTACTTTTATTGGATTCTCTTTCGTTTGAGGCACCGACTGAACTGAAAATGGGTCTGCATGGTAATGGTGAGCAATCGCCCGGATGGCCCCCCACTTCCCTCCTTCGCTCACTCGCTCAAGTTACCCCCATATGATTATTTATGGACTCTGGCCCTCTCACTCTATCACTCAACCTCCTCGTTGAATTTTTTTTGTTTGTTTGTTTGTGCCTTACTCTCTTACTCTTTTTTTTTTTTTTTTTTTTTTTTTTTTATCGAAAAAAGAGCCAGGCCACCACTTCTCCCATTCCTTTCCACTTCGCTCTCTCTTTCACTCTCATTGGAAGACCAGACGCGATCCAATCTCTCTCGCTTTCCTTAGTGTTGACTGGCCTTGAACTCTGTCCAACCTAGCTCGGCAACATTTTTCAACATCAACAAACGAAAAAGAAAAAAAGTCGCGACCCACATTTGAACCAAAACCGTGTTTGTTCGATAACGGCACCCGTGTTCCTTTCTTCTTTGTTTTGAGTTTCTTTGTCATTGCAAGCAAGGTGGTCTCCCTTCTTGCAACATTGGTTGAACCATCGATGATCGACCTCACCTCCACTTGCTTCTCCACGAACAACGTTTTGTTATGTCATCCGTCTTCGCCTCCAAGCCTTACTTCGCTTACCTGTGCAATGACAATGCAAATGGAAAGCGGAAAAAACAGGCGCAATGCACAACTCAAGTTTTACGTTTCCTACAAATGACACATATAAAGCGTGCTTACCAGGCAGCTTCCACCTTACCTTGCAAAACGGGGCTCTTCCCCTTTCTTTCATTCCTCTTGCAACTCCAGTTTCCGCGCCATGTTTCCCTCACCATGATCAACCCCTTCTCTTTCATTCTGCCTGTGTGCAAGCAGGCACCTTAAAGGACGACGTTACACGCCTGTTCGCGAAATGCAAAACGCACCCCTCGCTCTACGAACCTCTCAACCTATCTATCTACTTATCTTGCAACCCCTTCAGCCCGAGTGTGAGGATGTCCACTCTGTAAGTGTAACCCTTATTCTCTTTCCTTCCTTTTCCCCTTCCTTATCCTCTCTTCCTCGTCGTCCACTCCTTACATCCATATCACCTGCCCCTTTTTCTTCTTCTCCGTCCCCTTTGGTTATCTTTGGGTTGTCCGCTCCAGTTTGGCACTGGATTCCCCTCCTTTCCGTATCCGTCTCCTTTTTTTTTTTTTTTTTTTTTTTTTTTTGGTAGGCACCAAGAAAAAAAGAAACTCGTGGTCGGTGGGGTGGTTCGAGGTAGGTTCTTTGGATTAAACATTCCATTGTTCCATGTGCTTCGTGGGAGGAAAAGGAGGAGTGGGAGGAGGAGAAGAATCAATAAAAAACAAGGGGGATGAAGTAAATGGAGGACAGACAAAAGAGGGGAAGCTACCTCATTATGTTTCTTTTAACATGTTGAAATGAAGCAGATAATGGGAAAGGGGAAGGAGTGTAAGTAAAACAAAGCTCGACGAGGAAGACGACTCAATGAAGGAGGAGTTGAGATGAGGTGAAAAGACAAAGCGGCCGAGCCATAATGTATCGTTTTTATCGTTGAGACAGATAAGGTGTTTCTCTTTTCCTTTAATCGAAAAGGCAACCAAAGAAAGAAAAGAAAAAAAAAGCACCGATTTCTACACTCCATGGTCAAACAAAACAAACCGAAGAAACCAAACAAACAAACAAACAAAAAGGTAGCATGGGTGTTGTCCATTTCTAAAACCACGCTGGGTTCTTGATCATCAAGATTTTTTTTTATTCTCTCTCTCCTTTGTTTGTTTTGGCGCAGTTCTGTTTGCGTTGTCGAATCGACTGTTGGTGAGATGTTGTTGTTCGGTTCTGCCTGCTTTTGGATGTTGGGATCACTTGACCATGCACAAAAACTTGTCCGACCTGGGGAATGGAGGCTGCCCTTCCAATAACCAAAACACAAACCAATTCATGCACGCAGATGACTAATAACGCAATGACAATGGAACAAACGAAGGAAAAGGGAATGGGGAGGGTAGAGGTGAAGAAGACCTTGGACTGGTTCCCGGGGCTGGACACAAAACACTAACAGAAACAACATCAACAACTGCAGCTGGCGTACCCAATACAACACTAGGCTCTGTTGGTCTTGTGTGGTTTTCTTTTGTGATTGTGTTTATGTTTACACATTCTTTTTTGATTTCCTTGATCCATGGACAGCATAAGGCCTTGTCTTTTTCTTCTCGTTTTTTTTGTATGCTCTCTACATTTGGTTTATTGTCCTACATCGGCAAGCGGCCGCAGTATCGAGGATGAGAGGAGGGACAAATCAGGAATAGAAGAAGCGACCAAAGGAAAGAAAAAAAAGAGGTTCCGCCCCGCCCATCAGAACGCCAACTCTAACTGAGATAAGAATTTTGAAAGGGAGAAAGGGGACGGAGGGACATGATGGCAATGAGTTTTTTTACTTTCAAGGACGTATCTCCTTCTCCCTCGCCATCTCTTTTTCTTTTTCTCTTGACTACAAGGCAAGAGGAGCATTATTCACATCTCGACATAAATGATGATGCTTTCTTTTGGTTTTGGAGGGAAAAAGGAAAGTGTGCATGATGATGAAGATGGAGTTGAATGTTTTTTTTACGTTTGAAAGCGATAAGGCGATAGAGTACTCTTTCTTCAATGTTTTCAACGGATGGGCTAAGTGTTTATACACACCCTTGAGCTTTCCTTGTCTCCTCCTCTTTTACTTTTTTTTATCATTGTGTATTCGACCGTTGCTTGGATGCATGCAGAAAATGACTTTCTTTTTAGCACCGTTTGATGAGAACGAATGAGGGGAGCGGTATCTGGTTTGCAAAAAAAGTGAGCCAACGTAGATACAATTTCATTTTCGTTGTTGCATACAGTAGCAAAATAGACAATACAGCAAGCCCTTAACCCTAGCCTAGTTGCTGTAGGAGCCCTCTCTCTATCTCTCACTCGCTGTCTATCTTTGACATGGGTAATGGAAAGGAACCCCTTTTGGCTCCATGGAGGTGTGTGTGGTTGCTGCTTGCCCCGTCCTTGATGGCTCGGATTTTTTTCCTTCAAGCAGACAACAAAACAGAAACGTTAAAAAAAAGAATTAGACCTCCGCCTCCCTCCTCTGCTCCAAGTCATCCACTTTGGGAGCCCTGACTCTTGTTTACCCCTGGAGGAGGTCCAAAACAGAGAGAAGGAAAGAGAGTTAAAACTTAGGGACCCGTCGCCAGTGGAGGAATGGAGAGGAAAAGGCAAAGGCAGGCTGTTTCGCTCACTTGTTATATTTCCAATAATTAGACGGAGCTGCTTTACTTGCCTTGTTTTGCTTACATGCTAAGGAACACAAGCCGGGTCTAATCTCTTTTCTCTCTTGTGTCAGTCATTCGCTGCATTCTGAGTCTGAAAAATGTAACGTGTTGGTCCTGGCCCTGAAACCCGCCCATCCATCCCTCTCCTTTTTCTCCGCTCGCCCAGACAAGCGCGCGTTATTGTTTTCTTTTTGTATCGAAACCATGACATACTCACGAGACGGAGGACAGAGAGATACCACACTGTTGTTTGGCATGTGCTTGTGGGTTGAGAACTGAAATCAACCACAACAAAGCAACAAGGCACAACCCTTTGTTTACTTTCCCTTTTTCGTTGTTATTCACCGTTAGAACATAAAGGAAGAATAATGACTCCCACCGATTCCATTCAAAATGAGAGGAAGATCGTTTCCATTTTGGCGCCAAAATAAAGAACCCCCCAGCTGCTCTTGTTGCAGCGAGAGCTTCACCCCCGAAATAACAATAATAAAATGAGAATAGCAGCAGCAAGCAGCTAATCCCCCGAATGGATTGGATGGTACCAGCACTATTTTTGATGAGCTGCTCATACATACAACAATAACCACTGCACAATCAATGCATCCTGCTAAAACCCTGTCTAAAAGTGCGAAATGGGTATCTCAATTGCCATTAAAGAGCGTGCCTTTTGGGTTCAATTCCCTTCTCGTTTATTGTTATGAACCCTGTTCCTTGGTGGGATTTGTGGGATTGGTTCGAGGGGTTGTTGTTGTTGTTTGCTCTAATGCAAGCCGAGCATTGGACACTGAGAGCTGTTTAGCTATTTTCATTTCTGACCGTTGTTGTGGTGGTGGTTGCTCTTTCCTCCTTCCTCCTCCTTCCTCCTCCTCCTCCTCTCCCCTCGTTCATCTATTTTCAGGCACAAACAACAGCAGCAGTAGCTGCAAGAAAACGAACGAACTAGAGCAAGAGAGAGCGAGAGTGAAGGATTTTTTTTTTTTTTTTTTTTTGTTGGGATCTTCCAAGTTTCGAAGAGCAGAAGATTGTTATCTATCCTTCCTTCTCTTGTGCCGAGACCTTTCCTTTATTTTTTTTTCTCGCATATGACTGCATCGTTATTTTGTCTCTCTCTCTTCTTTTTTTTTTTCGTCGCCAGGACCCCCTCCCCCCCAACTCACCAAGTCGTACTCAAAACATGGGTCGTGTGATCCGGTCTGGTCTGGTCTGGTCTTGTGAATGCTATCCGTCCACCCACAAGCTTCCACTTCTCCTTCCAGCACCTTCTATTCAAGGGTGTGTGTGTGTGTGTATTGTCAAGGTGGTACAAAAGGTAGCGTGGCAAAAAAAAAAAAAAAAAAAAGAATATCACTTTGTGCAACATTGAACAAAAAGCAACAAAAAATAAATAATAACAAGGGTACCTGCCTACTACTCATCCGACTAGCCCAGTCAACCTAACCCAACCCATGGCCATGCTCACTATTTTTTTCTATCCTCAACTCAGTCGGTTGGTTGACTCTGATTTGAAGTTTTGATGTTATTTTTGTTGTGGTGAGGGTGTAGGCTCACTGTCGAAAGAAAAGTAAATTCAAAAGCCAAAAAAAAGAAAAGAAAAAAAAAAATTAAGGGAAAAGAGATAAGAGAAGACAGGTCCAAGATTGAGGATCTTTTGATTCTCGCCAAGACGAGTGGGGCGTCTCCTTGTTCGCCTCTCCATTCAACTTGCTGAAAGAGAAAAATCGTCCTTGATGAAAAGTCGAAAGAGGCAAAAGGAAAATGCGAATAGACGATGGCCAAAAACCACAAAAAGTGGATATGGGCAAATGGATATTCCGAGATAGTATCGGGAATGGGTAATGATGGATAGATGTGTCGGAGGAGTACGAGCCATGAGCGATCTAAAACCCAGAGGAATGTCAATTAAAATCAAAGAACGAAAACCCAAAATGCCAGTGGAGTATGTAATCAAGTGTCGCCAAAAAAAAAAGGGGGACACGGCGGCCAGAAAGAATAAAAGAAAGAAAAGGTTGACCCGGTTCCTTTTGTCCCTCCTTCGGCTATTATTACACCGCCCCCCCATGGAGCAAAACCTTGTAAGGTACTCTCTTTTCTTCGAGAGAAGTGTTGAGGAGACCAATGGACACAGTTCTTATTTTTGATAAATGCATAGTTAATGCAATGAAGGGGCGGGGCGAGTCATTGTAGAGAGCAAAGAAAAAGGATACGTTGGATGAGCATGGGCGTCAGGGACGGGTATCAATTGATCTATCGCAGTTGTTCGAGAGTCGCGAATGAATTGGTGGCGTTGTGATCCTGGATGTGGGAGATTAAGGGTATCTTTGGCTGTGTGATGTGGCGTTTTTTGTGGCCAGTTTGCCACCAAATTGAACAAGCTTGTCCTCAAGACCCACCCCTGCTGCATCCAAAGAAAATCTCAAGTGTACTTTATTCCTTCGTTTATCCCATGTAGAGGTAGGAAACAATTGCCCTTCCAAAAATGAATATAATAGCGTAAAAAGATAGGGAGAAAGGACTTGTCTAGAAAAAGTCGACGGCGTGCTTGCGAACAGGCACAGAGGTAGAGTATGCAGATCGTGATTTTTTGGTATCGGTGTTGATGGTGGTCGAAGGCTTCTTGGAAGCATGCTGTTGTTTGTTGTTGCTCTGGATGGTGTGAAGAGTCCTGACTTTGAGTGCGCTCTTGGTGGGGCGTGTGTCCACTGAAGGGACCTTGACAAGCGTAATTGGCAGTGTCTTGTCAAATCCTATAGTACATAAAAGGTGCCAAGCAAAGGTTAGTACATCACAATTTCGACTCGCTCTGATTATCATGTTTCCTGCGTGCCATCCTTTTCTTCGACAAAAAATTCACTGCAAGTAAACCGAATGAACATGACATGAAAACGTACGCTTGGTCTGGTTGTTCTGGAGTCCCCAGCGGATGGACCGCTTCTTTGCAGGAGTAGCCTCCGGTGATGTAGAGGCCGAAGAAGTAACAGTCGACGAATCATCCTCCGTAATAACGGGTGCTGCGGTATCTTCGTTATCCTCCTCATCCATGGTAGCAGCAGCCTCGACGGCCTCCTTTTGCTGTTGCCTCCTAGTTTTTTTACTCTCCTCCGCCTTTTCCTGTTCTAGGATCTGGTTGTGCTCTGCGAGACGGTCCTGAACATGTTGCCAGATCTGATGTTGGTGAGCCTGCTTCTTCTTCATGTCCTCTGCCTGTTGCTCCCGAAGCAACTTGTACATCTTTGTGTCAAAGCTATTTCGATTGGCAGGATTACAAAAAGGAGATGAACATTAGAAAAATCCAGCTGATAATTAATTTTCTTCCATGAGTACATGCAATTAATCTCTGCCTTTTTTTTTTCTCAAATGACCATTGCATTGATAGAAAAGTACACTGTGGAGTAGCTGACAAAAAGAAAAGGCGGTGAATGGGTTGACTTACCAGATCATGGGAGATTTCCTTTTGGGACGACGCTGGGTGTAGAGCATGGTCCAGGAACTCAAGGGTGCCTGTCTGTAGTGGGAGAGCCTCCAGAGCGAAACCAACGACGACATTTGACGGTCGGTCAATTGGCTTGGCTGACCAATTTCGATATCTTCCATCTATTGTTCAAAACATAATGTTTGTGGCGTGTGAGTGCTATGGTGAAGAATGAGATATGAAGCGGGTCGAAAGCGAAGAGAAAGTGACGAAGAGTAGAACACAGCAAAGGCTGAATTGAATGTCGAGAGATGAGATGAAGTGATGATGAGGTAGGTGTGTTTTACCTCGATGTCTGCCATTGTGTCAAAGGGTGATGGAAGTGAAAGAGAAGAAGGTTAAAAAAGGTGAAAAAGGGAGGAAGGATGGGAGCAACGAGGACGAAGGGCGGAGCTGTTGGGAAGAGTGGGTGTCAAAGGAACAACAGACGGCAACGTCCAAGCAAGGTGCAACAACAACAACAAAAGAAAAAGTTGTTGACTGCGTGACTGCTGATGACCATTCTTTTTTTTTCTTTTACTTTTTCATTCACAGGCACAAAGAAGAAAGAGAGTCTGCTTTTATTACGACAAATGATAGTGAAGGGAGAACAATTAATGGCGCTCGGGTTCCTGGGAGGAAAGATTCTTGTGGACAGAGAAACGGTCGCCTTCCTGTTCCTTGTGACTCTCAACTGGAGCATTGCCACCCATTGACGATGTGACAGGAGCAGATGCAATCGCAGGCTGTTGCTCAGTCAGCAACTGGACATCATCGTCCATGCTACCCATATACTTGGATCCAATGTAGAAGCACAGGGCAGCAACAAGACCACCAATGAATCCAATACCGTCGTTCTTGAATCCAACCAGCATGCCAGCTGTGGTAATCATGACAATAAAGTTTGCGTGTCTCTTTTGATCGTCCACCACTCCATCGTTGACAGTTCTTGCGACTGCGCCCAATTCGATACCACTCACAAACAGCATAACCCCAAGAATGGCACTTGGGTAGGTCGCAATCAGGCCCGACAGGGAGCTTCCGAAGAAGAGGCCGAAAAAGATCTTGAGGAGACCGAGGATAATGATCGACACCTCGGTACGGGCGCCAAAACGGTACTGGGCAGCCAATCCTCCAGAGCCGTGGCAGAAGGGAATTGATCCAAAGAAGCATCCCACCAAGTTCATCATGCCGACCGAGACAGCGATAGCAGGGGTACCGGCTGGGCGCTCGGGAAAGAGATCCTTGGCAAGGGCGGCAAGGGCGATGACAGAGTTGAGACAGGTCAGAGGGATCTGTCCTAGGGAAGCGGACACGAAGCCGTGCTTGAACTCATCCCAGGTCGGGACTGTGACTCCGATGGTATAGACACTGATCTTGGGATAGACGGCATTAGGAGGGGGGTTGGTGTATAACTTGATGAAGGCGATGATGAGTCCGATCGAGAAGAGGATCATAGCGGTTGGGATACGCTTGGATCGGTAGTAAAAGATAAAGACGACAATGAAGGCAAACACGGCCCACTCGTAGTTGTTGTCCCAGGTCCAGCTGTCACCTCCAAAGCTCTTGGCCTGCTTGACCAACTCAGCAGCCTTGCCTCCAAAGGAAATGGCTGTTCCGAGCTGGATGCCGCGAATGACGGCCATGGGGGTATACTTTTGGACGATGTGGATGGTGCGGGTGAGGCCGAGAGCCATGACGACGGCCGAGACTCCCATACCGGCACTCATGACGGATCCGATCGACATGTGGTTTGTCAGTGCAATCGCAGCAATGGCTACCAGAATTGAAGCCGGATGAAATGTTAGTGATTTTGCATATGTATTTTTTTGTAATTAAAAGTGAGACCTCCTCCAGATGACAGCAGGTCTACAGCGGTACAAAGGCTTCAGCGCCACTTACATTTCATGGGCTGGACACACATTGGCATGCGGAAGGTCAGGCCGGTGATGATATTCCAGAGACCACCAAATATCAAACTGGCAGTAAGATCGACCTGGCCAGTGAGCGAAAGCGAGAGCATGATGGGCAGGAGTGTGCCCAGATCACCAAGAGAACCGCTCAATTCGCCCAAGCGAAAGCCAGATTTAAAGGACTGAAGTCTGTCTTTGGCATCGGCCTTGATGGAGTCAACGAAGCCTTTGGGAGGGGAAAGGGAGTTATCCTCCTGAGAATGGGAGGTAGGCAGGACCTGTTGGGACATTGCTTTCTTGGGCGTAGTAGTGGATGATGAGGGGAAGGAGAGGCAGGGCGTGAGAAAAGAAGGGAAGGGAAGAAGAGATGGGTGAGGTTAAAGAGGCACAAGAAGGAAGAAGAAAAGGAAGAAGAGCAAGAAGAAAAGGTTGAAAGACCGGGGTTTGAACAAGAACGAGAATGAGAAAGTCGAGAAGGTCGGGCGTGAGTCGCACGCATGGGACGATGGATGGTGGTGGTTTTCAATGAAAGAAGTGGTGCTCACTCGAAGAAAGAAAGACAGCGTTTGTGTCACTGAAAGACAAACAACTTCTTTTCGTGCATTCTTTAGGGTTTTGGGCTTGGTCCTCTCTCTCTCTCTGTTGATCATCATCATCAATCAACGACCGAGAGAAGAAGACTACAAAAGTCGGCGCATCAATTCATCAAAACCCAGGGGATCAGACACCTTAAACCTTCTTTTGCATCACAAAGAGTGGGGCCTTGTGGAGCAGCAGACAGATAGCCTTCCGATTGGCTGACCATGACTCCAGCACCTGGGTCTGTGGTGGCACACATCTCTCACACACTTGCTCTCACGCACACACTTGCACTCACTCACACACTTACACTCACTCACACTTCTCATGGAGACTGACCATTGAAGACAAAACAAAGGGACGAATAAAATCTAGACTCTAGATCCAAGAGACAATCCCTAGAAAGATGTTCCGCCGATCTAGGACAGCCGGGTTTGTGTTCGTGGATCAAATGAGTCGAACTGTCATCTTTCTGTGTACCCATGTAGTTCTATTTTCTTTTTCTAGGAGTAACAAAGGCGTCCCTTTTCACTATATACTCTCAACGCGCCCCTGTCCCCTGACAAGGTGTCTATCAAAGTACAAGTGCGCGAGAGTCCATGTGGCAAAACGGCGTGTGTTTGAATGTTTGTTTATGTACAGCACTACATCAATGTATTGCCACCATCAAAAAGAGAGGAGACTTCAGTAGACAGTCGATATGCGTGCGAGCATTGGCTCATTTTATTTCGTCGGACATCGCGTGTGCTCAATTGACCTCATAAGAAGACGCAGCGAGGGAAAGACGAAACAGACAAAGGAGGGAAACATGTACCGTCGACTGTGCCTCCACACACACACTCTCTCGCCTCTTTCGCCCTTGCCCAAGTGTCACTCTCTTACGCTTCCCTCATCCTCATCCGTAGCCTTTCTTTTTCTCCTTCTCAGGAAGTGTATGTAAAAGTGCATGATGCACTCGTGCGTATATAAAATGTGCTCACTGCGGCAGATGCATAGCATGGTCAACTCACCTTGGCGAACTGTGAGCTGTGCCAGCCATCAAAGAAAGCATCCCCTTACTTTGCAGCTAAATTTTTGCCATTTCTCCTGTCTCCTCCTATCCACGTCTTTTCCCCCTTCTTGTCTTCTCATTCTCTTCTCTTCCCTTCCCCACTCACCCCCTGCCACTCCACCTCGACATCGGCCAAGCAATACTTACACACACACACACTCTCATATACTGAAGAGCCATGTCCAACACCGTCACCTTGCGTTTGACCAAGGAACTGTCTGAATTCGCAAAGAACCCGGACCACCAGCTCTACCTGCACTACGGTAAACAAAAATAAAAGGGCTTCATTCATTGTCTTCCGTCTTTTGTTGCACTGGAGTCAAAATGGTGGCGGAAGGATGCAACAAGCTGTGTTTGTGGCGAAAAAAAGTAAGAGTGCGATGAACCAAGGCTTGATTCCGTTCTCCGACATACATACTCGCACACAGGCGCACACACAGGCGCGCATGCCGCATGACCATGCACAACTGTTTTGTTCATGGCCAGGCCATACATCACACAACAATAAAATAAAACTACAAAGGGTGTCGTTTGTTTGTCGCTAGTTCTCTTGCCTTTTGTTTTTTCACACACACATCATACACAGAACATAGCTTTTGTTTTTCCACATCCTAATGCAGCAACCAAGTTACTAATAGGCGCACTTCTACTTTTACTACCCGCACTGTCCCTGTCTTATTAGATGACTCCAATATCATGAACATCAAGGCCATGATCACAGGTCCTCCTGATACTCCGTAAGACAATCAATGCACCGGAGGAACAAGAAACAGAGGAGAAAAAAAAAGAAGAAAAATAAGGGGGGTGAAAATAGGAAGGATTCGACCGCACAACGCCTTCGCCGTTTCATGCTCTCCAAGGACAAGGACAAGGACTGTCCAAAGAAAGCAAAGAAAGGAGAGGATGAGGCTAACTCAACAAATGCAATCTTCTTTTTATCTTTCGACTTTAGGTATTGCCTTGGTCAGTTCGAGTTCAGTCTTCAGTTCCCTCGAGACTACCCAACCAACCCACCGAAAGGTAATTGCTCGACCTTTGTTTCTCTAATTGATGGATCGCCCCCTTTTCAGCCTTGTCTGGATTCTTTTTTCATTGAGAATAACCGTTGGCCTTGTTCTACCTGCCATGACCTCGTCAACGAACCAATCCAATAGTGCTCGCCCTAACAACCAACCACGGTCGGTCCAGATTCAACCCAAACGTAAGTAAAAACACAAAACTCGCTGTGCCAACCCTTGATCAATCTGATACTTTGTTACTCATCGGTGACTTATCTCCTGTTGCATTCGTTGATGATAGATCTACGCTGGAGGCAAGGTGTGCTTGAGTATTCTCGGAACATGGAGAGGAAACGCAGGAGAGCAATGTAAGAGCACTGACCACCTTTTGGCGCAGACCCATCTTGGCGACCATTTTTTTCGAGAAGCTGGCGTCTAACTGCTGTTTCCGCATCTTGTACAACTTTGTAAATGACAATAGGGTCCTCGGCGCACGGCATCATCAGTATCCTTCTGAGTATCCAGTCATTGATGAGCGACACTCCTGTAAGATTTCAGCCAAACTTTTGTTGTTATAATAGCCGTCATTCGTTCTAATGGACTTGCACTTACCCGCGCTACGTCGCCGTTGACTTTAAAACATAGTACCGCAACGAGCCTGGACATGATCTGGAGAAGGACAATGCCAAGCTGGAGCCATATAACCAAAAGATTCGTCACGGTATGTCAGTCATAGGATGCTTCATGGATATTTGGGCGCTCAATGTGATCTTGCATGCGAGTGAGCAAACCACATCAGACTGACAAGTCATCCGCACTCTTGATTTTAGAAACGATTCGCATCTCGATTTGCGACAGACTGGAAGGATACCTTGGAATTGGTCAGGCTTTGAATTTTAATGGCTCAACAGACTCGACGATCACTACAGCATCGACGCCATCATCGCCTCTCGGCGCCGTCAACAACACCCTTGCTACGCCAGTAGGCACACCCAACTCTGGAGGAACACCCGTTGCGACTACCCCCTCCGTCTTCGACTCCATCTACGCTTCGGCCGTCACGCCCGATGATGAGTTTTGCGATCTCTCCAAGAGACTATTCCTTGCATACTACGACATCTACCAGAACACGGTCCGAACAGAGTCGGAGCAAATCAAGGACGGAACTACTTTCTACAAGGCGCCATTCGAGTTTGGTGGCAACAAGATGGACGGAACTTTCAACTATGCGTCATTGGCAAAGAGGCTCGAGGCCATCAAGACAGCGATCGACAAGGAGACCAACGATTGGGTTACAGAGTCGAGCTCATGGATCAGTCACTTGAACAGCATCTCGGGCAACCTGAAGCGTCAGTTTGAGCAGGTGCGAGAGTATTACAACGAGAGCAACACTGGCGTGGTCGACATTGAGCTTACCGACGGCAACCCCTTCCTGTGGAACTTTACGCTCTTTGGCAAGCCGATGAGGTACTTTTCTTTTTGTACAATCATTTCTTTGCGAAGCGAGAGCATATCATGAGACGCAATGCAATGCGATGCGATGTCATGAAACCTGAACAAGGTCTGACACGAATTTGTTCACGTTGTTTCTATCTTTTAGCAACTACGATGGAGGCATGTTCAAGGTCAAGATAGTTTTCCACAAGGACTTTCCTGAGGTCCAGCCTCGAGTCAAGTTCTCGACACCGATGTACCATGTCCATGTGACCCAGGATGGCGTCCCGTTCTACACTGTCGAGAAGATGGATGACGCCCGGTCCCACATTGAGGCCATCAGCCGTCTCATTGTGGAAGACGAGCCTTCAACCAACCCCTCCACTCATGTCAACCTGCAGGTGTGAATCGTTGTTTTTTATCTTTAGTCCTGGAGAAACAAGAATGTGTTGTGAACGCCACTAATCTTGTATGCCTCTTGTTTTCTGACTGAAAATATACAGGCGGCGAAGCTTCACTTTGGAACCAAGGAGCAGCGTCGGGAATACAACAGGAACGCTCGTCGATGTGCCAGTCGGTCGACTGACTACTTTGACTAGAGTGGCCTGTGGGAGTATTGGAGGATTCAGGTACAACATGATCGTGTTTGGATCTTTCCCTCCGCATACTTTTCTTGCGAAGGAAAAATCAGAAGCAACAACAACAACAACAACAACAGCAGCGCAACCGACCCACCCCCCCTTTGTACAAATATTCATTTTTGCGGATCAAACTGGTATCTCTCGACTTCTTTGTGGACTAGCGGTGTGTGCGAAGTAGAAGAAGGCGATGGGATGAGTGTTATGCTTCACCACGTCAAAACCGCAAGTCATATAGCCAACTGAATAAAATGATCCAAAATTACAAAAACAATAAATTCGCGAATGATTTTACTTGCAAATGCGGTGCTTTTTATTGTCTATGTATGAATGCTGTGGAATGGAAAGAAGAAAAGAAAAAGCCTATGTTTTACGCGTCAAAGAGATCTCCTTCGATCTTGATGCCATACTCTGCCTCGAGGCGCTGCTTCAATGCATCGTCCAGGACGGCCTCGAACCCATCCGACTTGCGACCGAGGACGACCTTCTCAAGATAGCTCTTGACCTGAGCGAAATGGTATGCGGCCGACATCAAGGCCAGGGCGGCTTCAAAGACCCAGTAGTTGAACCTCGTCTGTAGACTCAACGAGACCCATCTCCAGAAGGTTAGCGGTTGCTGTCTCGTCAATGTCTTTGAAGTATTATTGTCGGTTGATGAAGAGGAGGAGGAAGTGACGAGTTGGTGGGTAGGAACAGTCGAAACCCAGAAACTAGGATCATGACCCAGTCCGACAACAGCCCACCGCGCCATGCGGTTGATTCTATTCACAGGACTGCCCAGGGTCTTGTTGTTGGCCCGGACGATGGTCATGTTTCGGCCGATGAAGATGAGTTCCTTGGGGAGGAGTTCAGAATTGATGAGGAAATCCTTCAGGGTTGTTTTGAGTTTCATCTGGATCTCGTATGCATCGAGGACGGAGGTATTAGTTGTTGGGGTGATGTTTGGGGAGAGGTTGGCGTTGTAGGGTTTTAGGAGCGTTGCGTTCGCTGTTGGTATGAGGATAAGTATGTAAAGGAGTGAGGTTGGTTAGTGACATTGAGTATGTAGGTGGTCAATATTTGTCTATCAACGAGCAGCGGAGAAAAAAAAGAAAGAGGAAGGAGTCCTACCCATCATTTGTGAATCGCCCACTCCCCAGAGGGTACAAATGTCCTGGATGGTGTGCTTGTCAAGGAGGAATAGAGACTTCCAGAAGAGGCAGTATTGTTTCCTGAACTCTTCTGACTCCCGCATGTAAAGTCCATGATCCAGGAGCAACTAATCGAGTTTCCATAGATAGCAACATGCGTATTAGTACGAAGCACCAGTGCATCAATAAATTAAGTGGTACTGTCATTGAAGAAGAAGTACATACGAGTTGGTGTTTCCGTGGATCGTTGGGATGCTTGCGGACGAGGATGTTGCCTGGGTGAGGGTCGCCATGGACAAATCCAGAGATAAAGATCTGATGGGCAAAGACATCGACGACAGACTCCATGACCTTCTTGGGACTCAGGTTCATCTCCTTCAACCTTGCCTTATCCGTCGCCTTGCATCCATGGACCCACTCCGCGACCATGACCCGTTTGGTGCTGTAATCCTTGAAAATCTTGGGGACATAGACCTGGTGTCGGAGTCGTGGATCCGTCTGGAGGTACTCATTACAGAGCTCAGAATTCCGCACCTCGTTAATAAAGTCGGTCTCTTCCCGAAGATGGCGGATAGTATAGTCAACTGCAAACGACATGGGAAGGTCAAAGATTAGCTCGTAGGCCTTGATCAACAACCGATAGGCGATCAGGTCCCATTCGATCTGGACCTGGATCTCGGGCTTTTGGACTTTGACCGCGACCTCGGTTCCATCGAGGAGGGTGGCCTTGTGCACCTGTGCGATCGAGGCTGCTGCGACGGGTTCTCTGGAGAAGGTACTAAAGACTTCGTGGATCTCCTTGCCCAGTTCCTTTTGGATGATCTTTTCCACGACACTGTATTCGACTGATGAGGCGTCGTCGTAGAGTGCGCGGAGGGTACTATGTGTGAATGAGATCGGGCGGATGGTGAGGGTGTGTAATACAAGTTTTGGGTTTTTTTCTTATCGAGTGATGTGATGCGCAGGTCCCTGAGAAAGGAAATTTTCTGTTTTCTTCCTTTTTTCATTGTTGATCGGATGTTGTAATTACGGCTCACCTACGTTAAGTAGCATGGGGGCAGGACGGACGAGTTCGTAGCAATCCCTTGACCTGAAGACAACGACGACGAATGAATGATGATAGAAAGTAAAGACGGATCAGTCGTGTGAGTGTGGGTATGCTGTTATCCTGGAACCTTACACATTCCTTGCACTGATCGATGTCCAATGTCCCACTCTTACCTAGTTTAATGTATAGACCGCTGTAACAATGGAACGCATACGTTGGTGTTGTGTTAGTTACAAGATCGCTATTGAAGAGAAGAACAAGGAAATATGCGAAGAACAAGTTGAAGGGCAAGCATGGAACATGGAAAGCGTACCCATTCGTCTGGCAGACGTGTAATATCCTGTCGGCGACTCGTTGATGGAGATCATTGATTTGATTCGCCTTTCCTGGTGTGAAGTTGAACTTGTAATCGTATCCTACTAGAACGCTGTTGTGTGTAAGATAATCCACTTGGTTATTTCTACATACCAAACAACAATACATATGACATAGCGCGAGGATGAGTGCACGTTGAAAGTACCCATTCCAGGCGGTGCGCGCTGTCCGTTGAAAGGCTTTGGCGTTCTTGTGGGTGTCAACAAGGTAGAGGCCGGTAACGGTAGCAGAGAGGACGGCGGCGGTTCTGGCGGTCTTGCGAGAGAGTATCCTCTGAAGCAACGGTGGCATGGTTGCTGAAGCAGGAGGGAGGGCTGATGAGTTGAGTCGGTTGTTGTTGTTGTTGTTAGACAGAAGGGACTAGTGCATCGATGGTTTCAAGAATGGAATGAAAAGTGTGGAATGGGAAGAGAGAGAGAAGAGAGAAGAAAGAAGAGGAGAGTTGAGGCCTTTGCGCATGAGCGAGGATTTGTTCGTGCGTAAGGGTTCTTCCGAAAAAGGAAATCGAACAGGCCACAGTGAGCATTGTGTGTGTGGCTTCGTTGCAAGAAGATCAACACTCTTTAGGAAGAAAAAAGAAAAAGAAGCTGCGGAACATTCCTTTCTCTTCAACCAACTTTCAAGAAACAGGAGAGCTCCAGGACAAGACAACACTCATGGAGAACGAGATTCAGCAAAAGTTGGCTCGCTACGAGTCATTCGTCAACGAAGGGCTCAGGAAGGATCTCAAGGACACCCTCGATGCACGAGACGCCATCTACGACCAGATCTCTGAATAGTACGTCAAATGCCTTCCTACTCTTTCTTTGTTTACACAAACCCGTCTGCGCAGACTACGCTCGGTAGCCCAATTGAGCTCTCACTTTTGGGGTCATGACTATTACCGACATACCATCTTTCCAGTCCCAGTACTCATGCCCACAACTCTTTTCATGTTACTACGAACTGAACGTTCACGATGATACAGTCTCAAGCTGGCGAAGGATATCGAGGTGATCAAAGACAATGGACTCAATGAGATGAAGACCCAGGTGGACCTTGGATCCAACTTTTATGTTCAAGCCAAGATGTAAGCACACTCAATCATTTTCCAGAAAGATCTGAAAGCCAAGGCTATTGACAGGAGTATGTTCGCCAATCATGTCAAAGGATCGGCATCATGTGTTAGATCAGAGTATTTACGTATTTTCCAACCTTTTGCCTCCCTATGATGCTTAGTCCGGATACGAAACATATCTTTGTCAACGTCGGTTTCGGGTTCCATGCAGAGTTGACTCTGGACGAAGCATTGGAGTTTATCAAGAAGAAGGAGGTGCATCTGCAAAAGTATGAACGATAACAGTGCTTGCAGAAATGACGCTGTTAATTATTTGATTTTCGGTTCCAAGCGGCGCCCTGCATGAATGGTTGTTGCCTTGCAGTCGATACAGCAGATCCTTACCTAACGTAGTATATTATTGTTTGAATCATGCTCACTAGGAAAGCTGAGGTGTTCACGGGAAAGGTATCTCAAATCCGCGCCCACATCAAACTGGTATGAACAAAGAAAAAGTGTCTTGTCTTCTTGGGCGTCAATTTTCGATCCACTGCAGCTCATACATGGAGACGTGAAGGGAGAGGGGTGACAGGAGCACGAAAATGACTAACTGAAACACACGTTGGCCTCTTTTTTCTTTAATAGGTGTTGGAGGCAATGGCCGAGATTATGAAACTGGACAGGACGCCACGCCCAAGGAGTCTCAACGTTTGAGCAAATGCATTCATGCATAACACACATACACACACACACACGCACACGCAAACTTCATTTATCATAGCCACAACGGGAAAATAGGAGGAAAGAGAAATCAGACCTTTTTCTAACACGCAAGGAGACGGAAGGGAGTAAAGAAAGGGATTGATAGCATGAATAGTCGTTTACATCTCTTCTTGCATTTCCCCAGTCGTACGCCTCTTGCGCCCGTTTGTAGCACCCTGTACCATAGAACCTTTTCTTTCTCTTTTAATTACAATTGCATCACATTCTCACGCCCAACGATCGTTTTTTGTTATGTGCGTCGTAGCGAATCGTAGGTTGCCGTCTATGAACTGGTGACGGTCCGTGTCAGAGGCGAATATCGGACTTTCGGTATCCTTTCGCTCCTTTTCATTTGTTTTTCGATCTCAATTGCTTAGCAGAACCCAGGGCAAGAAACCTCATTTATTGGTGTCACTTCATTCCCCCGAGAAAGGTATACGTACGATATGTGTTTGAGCGAGCAGGATATGACAACAGTACTAGATCCAGGGTACTTTGAAGATGACAAAGACCTCCATGACACTCTATAAAGAACAGATTCGAGATGAAAAACAAGAGCTCTCTCACTCTGGTTGTCCAGAAGAGGAGAGATGCGAACAACCACCAACACCCCTCTTTTGCCCGATAAAGAAGGAGGTCACTTTGCTCTCATTTTTCTCTCTATCTCTCTTTGTTTTTTTTGGGCCTGTTACGGGTAAGTCAAACCCAGACTGGGTTAATTATCGGGTAGGCTAGTGTCCGACAACATCATGGCGCATCTTGTTTTTTTCTTTTGTTTGTTCGCTGGAGTGAGCAAAAGGCACTTGATCCACGGAAATTACATACTAAGGTGTGCCCTGTGTGGCGTTTTCATTCTGTTCAAATGCCAGTGACATGCTGATGATAATAATAGACAAATAAAAAAATGATGCTCAGCATCTGAACGTTTCTTGTACATGGGCATGGAAACGGATGCTCCTTTCTTTCGGTGGTTCTTACATACTCCGGCCATTATCTACCCCCCCCTTTTTTTTTAATGCACCGGGATAAAGTGACAGAGAGAGAGAGAGAGAAAAGACAACCACATCTGTGACAACACCCTACCTGTACACTCGTGAACGCTTGTGGTTGCCCTGGAGGTTGTTTTGTCTCTGCTCCAGTGGTTGTGATAGGTCAGACAGAGAGAGAGAGTGAGAGAACAGCCCCAGTTGTGATTGGTATCATTATCGAATCCTGTCCTGTCGGTCCCCTTTGCCCGTTAATTTATCCTGTGTCTGTCTGTTCACTTCAATGTTACTGCCTCCTTGCCCCCTTGCCCCCTGCTCCTTCAAACACAGCACTAGAACGCTGCACCAACAAACAGAGGGTTTGTTATGATTCGATTGAAAGGATCTGTTCAAAATAAATGAATGGGATTAGGGTTTGGCTGATTGTCAAATTGCGTTAATGCAGAGACACACACACACTGATGGTGCCTGAGTCTGACACACAGAGAGGGAGAAAGAGAACGGAACACAAAAGACATCACCCATCACCAGCGCCATCATCAGTGCCACCATCAGTGCTGTCAATATATCCGCCCTGTTTCTCTTTTCTGCTCTCTTTTTGTTGTTTGTCATATCTCTCTTTCTTCCTTCCTCTCTTTCTTCCTTTTTTCTTTTCTGTTACCCTTGCAACTCCTCCCTAACTCTCTCACTCCTCCTCCTCTTTCCTACCCCCTTCCACCCCTCTCTTCTCGTTGTACTCTCCCTCCCTTTGCCCTTCAGCGCAAACAACAAACACGGATCGTTGTTCTTCTCCGTCATCTCTCTCTCTCTCTGTCTATAATCGCCCTTCGTTCCTCGTCTCTCCTCTCCTAAAAAAAAAACATCCGTATTCACACCGAGAACCACACAGGACAAAAAAATCATGAGTCGCTATCCGTTCCAAAACTCAACGCAGGACCACCACCAACGGTCCCTTCACAAGAGCAGCAGCAACAACAGTATTGGGACTCATTTTCAGGAGGGACACCACCGTCCCGAGAACGCCGACTGGAATCAATCACGGGACCCCAAGGTAACTTTTCATTATCCTGCATCCAGGCAAGGAGGGGAGGAATGGAGTGCCAGGCAGGGAAAGGAAGAAAGGACGCAAAACGGCAATTCAGGCAGGGCAGCTAGGACGATGCAAATATATCCTCCTTCCCTTTGTCCTACCTTCCCCTTCTTTCATTCTGGTTTTCTACTCCCTATTGAACCCTTTTCTCCAAGCGTACTCATCCACACCGTCGAACAACAACAACCAACAAGCGACTACAGAAAAAAAAACTCATTCAGCAACTCTCTTTTTCTCATTCACCATTTCATTCGGGTGTAGATCCAATCAACCAGCTCTGTCAGCTCATTTGCCAGTTGGTCGTCCTCTCAAGACCCTGCCTTCCACAGTAACACAAACTCGTATATCCAACAACAACAACAACAACAACAACAACAACAACAACAACAGCAGCATCAATTACAATTCCAGAGCTCGCAACAACAGTACAACAACAACAACCAGTCACCTCTTGCACAGGCTCAACAGCACCGAGGACTAAGTGCCCCCCAAAGAGGCGCCTCGCTTTCAAAGAACTCGAGTATCTCGTCCAATGGTCGGTACCGAAGCAACAGCAATAACAGCAACGTCAGTAGTAGCACGACCGCGAGCACAGCCATGCATTATCAGCAGCACCAGCAGCATTATGGTAATGGCCAGCAACCTCACCAACAGCACCAACACCAACAGCTCCACCAACTACAACAGCAGCAACAGCATCAATATCGAAGCAACACCACTAGCATGAGCAGCAACGGCGACCACGATAACCACTTTAATCATACCGGTGGGCCCCCCAATAACCAGCACAACCACAACAACCAGCATCTCAGCTACTCGAGTCAAACAAGTACCAGCAGCAGCCATAACCCACTTTCCTCGTACGACCCTCAACAACACCAACAACATCTCTACCACCAAAAGCTGCAGCAACAACAGCTCCATCAGCAGCAAAAGATCCTCGAGAAGCAACAACAACAGCAGCAGTTGCAACAACGGGCTAGCAATTCGTCGTCCTTGTCGTTTTCAGGCGACTTTTCTCGGATGGATTCGACTGCTACAGTCAAGTCGGACTTTTCTTCCGCCTCCTCCCGCTCCGACAGTTCAACACAACACCACCGACAGCAGCAACAACAGCAACAGCAACAGCAGCAGCAGCAGCAGGAAGCTCCTCGGCCTGCATCACAAACCCAGCGTAGGCGAGAGCCCACCACGACCAGCTTCACCGTCCTAGGCGCTTCCATTGCTGCTCCTACCGCTACTGGCAGTGATAACAAATTGGATGCCAACGGGTTGCCCTCTCTGGATGATTACGAGGCAATGCTTGAGCAGATGGCATCTCCCAATTTGGGGCCTAGGGAGGGCCGATCCACCACCGCCGCCGCCACCACCGCCACCGCCAGGCGTAAGGAGCGTGAGCCTCGGGAGCCCAGGGACCCTCGACCGACCATGGACCGTGCTGCCCGTCAAGCTAGGAGACAAATGGAGCAACAGCAGCAGCCTAAGCAGCTGTCAAAAGGTGCCGATGAACCCTTGAGTCATGAAAAGTCGTTCCAGGATCGCAAACTCCGGAGACGTAGCAGTCTGCCCAGCAAGCTCAAGGTGACCCCCAACTTGTTTGCAAGATTGAGTCGTCGAAGCAGTGGTGGCAACAAAAACAAGTCGTCCTCCTCCCCAACCGAGTCTTCATCAACACTTCGCGCCCTTGTCATGGATAACGGTGGGGCTATTCCTCCTCCACAGCAGCAGCAGAAGGGTGACAATGGTAGTGGGCACGGAGACGACTTTTCGGCAGCGGCTAATCCTTCACTGCAGGAGTTTGCTCATTTGCCAGCACTCCAGAAGAAGCGCTACTCCTGGGAGAACGAGGACATTGTCCCACGGATGGATCTCCTGTCGGCGACGAAGAACGCCCCTGCCGAACCTGCTCGTTTGCCCTCGTGGCATGATCTTGTGGACTCGGATCTCAACCCTCAAGTCAATGTGGATCCCATCTCTGCTGCTGATACCTCAGTCCCGGTCCAGGCTGGTGCTCCTGCACCCTACAAGCCTGCCTTGACGACAAAGTCGCACCTCCGGTTGAGCCATACTGAGGAACTGGAGGAGGATGTCATTACTCTTGTGCCTATCGCCGAGGAGGAGCCTGAAGTTTTGGAGATGCTCCCTGCCTCAGCTGCCAGGCGCAAGGACTCGAATGACATCCAGCAACAGCAACAACAACCACCACCCCCTCCTCCTCCTCGGTCGTCAACACCAGTCTCTCGTTCTCGACCAGGCACACCCTTGGGCAACATTCGCCCTCCACCTGGACCTGCCCCTGCCACCACAACTGGTACTGCTCCCATCCCTATCCCGCTTGCTCGGAAGATCTCGCCCGCCTCGAAAAAGCCTAAATCAGGACACGCCAAGGCCAGTCCCAGCTCATCGAGCTTCATGCTACAGCCCTTTGCCTTGGGCAACTCTAGACCCCGGGCTAGTTCTTCCAGCAGTAACGGTAGCTTCACCTTGGATGGGATCATCACCCCTCCACCTCCTTCTTCGCCTCTACCATCTTTGCCGCCACCATCGGCTCCGTCTTCGTCTTCGACTTTGCAGTATGGTGGTGGTGGTTCGTTTGTAGACCCGATGATGGTCGGTCTTGGAATTGCCCATGCTCACCCTGCACCTGTCCCCCGCAGCCGCAAGGCTTCTGCGGGTACCAGGGATTTGATCCGCCCATTACCTCAGCTGTTGCATCAGAACGAGAGCCGCATCACACCCATGGTCCCATCATTGACTCCACCCGAGCTAGGCCAGACTGCCGCGGCTACTGCAGCAGCTGTTGCGGCTGCCTCTTCTGCCGCCGAACTGAAAGCCCAGCAGGAGGCGCATGAACGGGAGCTTCAGTTAACGGTCAAGCAGATCCAGGATGAGAAGGAGGCACTTTTGCAGGCGATGCGCGAGCGTCACGATCGTTCGCATACCGAGATGGTTGACCAGTTGGAGAGCTATCGGGTCCAGCTTCAAACAAAGGAAGAAGAGATTGTGAGGATTCGAGACTCTGAGCAAGGCGCGATGGAGGCCTTCCGACGGGATCTGTTGTTGAAAGAGGATGAGATTCAGAGGATTCAGATCCAGCAGGGGGGGCACGAGAGTTTCCGTCAACAGTTGGAGAAGGATAAGGTTGACGAGATTTCGAGGATTCGTGCGGCTGAACAGGCAGAGATTGAGAGGTTCCGGGGGTTGATTCAGGCCAAGGAAGAGGAGATCTTGAGGATTCGGGGTGAACAAGAAGAGATCCAGACGGCGCGGCATGGTGCCCATGATAGTGAGAAGATCAAGTTGGGTCAGGATATCTCCAAGTTGGCTGCTACCCAGGCGCAGTTGGAGATGGAGTTGAGGAAGGCCCAGGAGGAAGTTCAGAGACTATCGGGACTTGTTGTCGAGAAGGAGCGTCTTTCGGCGGAGGAGAGGCAGGCCCGTGAGGCGGTCGAGGGTAGGATCCAGGCCCTTGAACAAGACAGCCGCCAGTCCATTGAGGACCAGCGCCACTCCCACGAAATCACCCTCGCAGAGTTGGATGATCAGATCCAGGATCTGGCCGTCCAGAAGAGTAGGTTGGAAGAGACCAACCTTCAGATGGAGCAAGAGCTCGCGGCCTTTGAAGCACGCTCCCAGCAAGAAGAAGCACAGTACCGCATCCTCCAGGATTCCGTCCAACGATTGAGCTCTAAGATGTCGAGAATGGAGACCAAGCACGCCGAAGAAATCGAGCAGCACCAGCGGGACCACGAGGAACTCATGGATCGCATCTCTTCTGAACACGCTGACGCCCTTGCCCACCTCACGAACCAACATCAGGTCGAACTCGAGACCGAACTCGAACAACTCCGTGTCACCTCCGAGATGGACCTCCACCGGTACCGCCACGAGTCCTCTACCCAACTCGAAGACGCGAAATCCCAGCTCCTGGAGTCCTTCGCCAAAGACCGCCAAGAGATGGAGGCCCGCGAACGCGTCCTCCGTGACCGGATCGATGCCCAGTCCGACAGGAACGATCAGCTCGAAGAAGAACTGTTCCAACTCCAGCGCGCTCAGGATACGATCGTCAAGGAGAAGGATATTCTGGCCAGGACCAACCGGTCGCTGGAACGCCATGTCTCGATGCAGCACCTTCAGCAGCAAGAGAACGTCTTCAAGATGGAAGAACTCGAACGCGAAAACGCTCGTCTGAGAGAGATCCTCGCAGATCTGGATATCGCCGCCGCCCTTGCTACCCGCCAACAGCAACAAGGCGCCGAGGAAGAATCGACTGCGAGAAAGGAGGCGGCGATGGCTGAGATGTTTGCTCAGCAGCAGCGCAAGTGGGTCGAACAGGTCGAACAGATGGCCCGCAAGGTCGCCAGAGCTGAGGAGGAAGCTCGTCGGGTCGCAGAGCAGAACGTCGATCTCAAGGTCGCTCTTGACCTGGCCGCTCAAGCTCATTCCGCTGCGACTATCGCCGTTACTTCTGAACGCCCTAAACATCAGCAACAGCAACAAGCGTCCGCCTAAACCTAGGCGCTTTAGCATGTAGTTATTTTCACGAACCCCCCATTCATATTTTTTTTCACGCATCCTTCTCATCTTAGCGCATACACATAGGCATAGCATATGTTTAAATGTACAGTACCATGTCCACCATTTTTGAGTTCAGATTTTCATTGACGAATTGTTTGCGAACAAAGAAAAGGAAAGAAAAGAAAAAAAGAAAGGAGGAACTAAGAGCAACAAAAGATAAGTCGCCCCATTTTGCAAGAGAGCAAGGTGTGCTCAAATCCGCGATTATTAATCGCTGAGGTCAAGGTCAAGGTCAAACTCGTCCTTGCTGGCAGCAATCATCTCCTCAAGACGGGGCTTGGGCATCGCAGGTGTATCAAAGACAGACTGCGTAGTCGGCGTCGCGATGATGGTCGACTCTGCCGCAATCGCAACGGCCTCGGCCGACGCCTTTGCCTTTCCGTTGCCAATATCCTGTGCCGAGATATCCTCGTAGATCAAACGGGGGATCGTCTTGCGTCGAGCAAATGGATCGATATCGTTCTTGCCCGCTCCCTTCAGCTTCTTCTCCTGAGCAAATCGACCCTCGGCCTCCCGTCCAGTCGATCTGTTCAGTGTCCTGTTCCTCTCATTCAGGGCTGCCCAGACATCGAGTTTGTCTGCACGCTTATCCTTCTGAGCCAACTCGGATTCCTTGAGAGCCTGGAGTTGGAGATCAATCTCGAAGTTATCCTCCGTGTTGGTGTGCTCCATCTTCATCTGCTCCAATATCGTCCTGTGAACGATTGGGTTCAGTCGTCCCTGCTTGAGCTGCTTCTTGAGCTCGAGAATCTCCTGGACCTCGGTGTTGTTCAGGACATAGGCCTTAGCGTGTTCGATATCCTTGCGCTTGCGCTCAACATGATCCGAGGTGGGAATATCGACTTTGTCACTTCTGAGCTGGATCTCAAATCGTCGGAATTCGTCATCCGTAAACAGTCCGTTCGAGACATAGTCCATCGTAAAGTTCTTCTCGGCGTTTCCATGTCGCAAGGTCAGGTTCAGATTTGTCGTTGCGCCTTCTCCAATCGTGTAGACTTTTTGCTGCTTGTTCACGGCAACCACTTCAGCAATTCGGAAAATGTGGATACGGTTCCTGTCCAGACCAAGAGACAAACGGACAAAGCAACCAATGACTGTATCTTTGAAGAAGGGGCTGTGGCACCATTTGGAGAGGCGATCTCTTCCGAGTCGAATCGAGTTGAGTTCATCGAGTGTGGCTGGTTTCCGGGTAATGCTCTTCGTCGACTTCTTGACCTCTGGTTCCGAGTCGTAGTCGGCTTCGTCTTCTGATGAGGGCGAGTCGCTCTTGTCGCTGTAATCCTCTGATCCTTTGCGTCCGCGCTTGGGTTCTGGTGAGTGTGATCGACGAGCCTATGTTTGCATCCCATCAGTATAGATGTTAGTCATACGTTCTCGCGCTGCGGTGTCCAGTGCATAACTAGTCAAAGGGAGCAAGATGTATTGCTTACCCTCTTGCGCTCCTGTGCCTTTTTCAGATCAGCCAAGGCTTTTGTGTTTCCAGTCTTTGTATCCTTGGCACGCGTCGATCCTGAGTAAGATAAAGGGAAGCGAGAAATATGTCAGAGTTCTGTCACCGCGACCGTTCTGAGCTTGTGTCAATACAGCAATGTTGAGAAAACAAAATGGCAGAGGTTGCTTACGGCGAGCGTTATCCCTGTTGGCCGATCCACTGCCCTTCCTGGTGCTCCTGTTTGCTTCCTCCTGTCTCTTCAATCTTTTGGCGACCTGTCTGTGATCCAGCAGCACCGTACGCTAATAATATCGAAACATTACAAAACATAAAAGCGTCATTAGTACGTCCATCATTCGTACTCTGGCTCGAGTGTGCCACCAGAGACGACTCTGCTGCGTTACTTAACAAAGACAAAGGCAAGCGCTGTACATACCTTCTTGGCACGCTCAAAGAGAATCTGCTCACGCTCGACCTCGGCCATGGCCATCAGGTCTGCGCGATCCTGGGCATCACGAAAGTAGTCGGCGTCGTACTCATCAACTGGACCCTCATCGTCCTCGTCCTCGTCGTCTTCCTGGTCATCCGAGTTGCCCGACATTTCTCCTTCAGAGATCTCTTCATCCGATGATTGACGGCTAAGTAGGTATATAAGAGAGGTTGAAGTGTGTCCGAAGGTGAGTCAGGTCGTCAAGCTGAGACGAGACATGCATGGAAGGGACAGAGCTGATCTGTTTTTTTTTCCCCTTCCTACTGACTAGTTGTTACCTGGATCTTCTTCTGCGGCGGCCCTTGTTGGAGTCTGAGGCCGAGTTGGCGAGGAGACGCAGGATGACATCGGCAGCGGCGGCGTTTGACATGGCGTGAAGGGTGTGGATGGGGAAAAAGAGAGTGGGAGAGTGGAAGAGGAGAGTGGGAGAGTGGAAGAGGGCGAAAGGACGCCAGGGAAATGGCACCTCAAGTGTGGCTTTGTGGGTGCGATATTAGCACTACACGTGATTTGTGCACCAATGCCTCCCCGCCCCTGTCGAACCAACGGCTGCCGACGACACCTTCTACTTTCCAAGACACTTTTTTCTTGCACACTTTCTCTCCGAACCTTTACTTCCTTTCTCACTCATAGTTCCCTCTTCCTCCCTCCCCTCATCACAACGCAGTACACTTCACAGCATGGCAGAGCCAGTCTCAGTCCTCGATGTACTCGATTCCATTCCCTTGTAAGTCACCCTTCTTCCCTTTCTGTTTCTCAAAGGAAACGCAACCATGGACTGACAATCCTTTTTCTATCCTTCTCCGGCTCTCCCTTTTAACAACAGCGCACCCGAGAGACCTACACCACATGGCACTCAGGCAGCAAGACGCTGGACAAGCCTTCTCTTCGACATTCTCCTTCACCCGGCTCGCTGGCACAAACTCGGCTTGGCAGTTCAATGGGCCAAATGGGTGGAATGGGAGGGCGGACTCGACCTCAAGGGACCTATTCGCACACCAGGAGTCCTTCACCTTCAAAACCCACTCCACCCTTTCGCTTTGAATCAATTGCTCAATCTCTTGGACTTTTCGCTTCTGGATATCGAGACCCTCATCGGATGTGCTGACACTGGTGACTGGACATGTTTATTCAAGGAGATCGATCCATCGAACGCAGTGACAGACAATGCCAAGATCCGGGAACAGGCTGCTCAGTCACTTCAGCACCTGTGCCTGTTGGCGTTCTATCTCCGACAGGGTCTTTGCTCCTTGGCGGGCAGCAGCAGGAGCATGAGGGCCGATCCGAGGGAGCAAGCAGAGGATGCGCAGATCCAGGACCTTATTGCCAGGATCCTTCGCAATGTAAGTGTGCGCGTTGCTTTATGGGTGTTCTCTCCTTGCCCGACCGGCTGACAAAGTGAAGTGCCAGCCAGCCTGTAGAAGAAGAAAGCGGGTTCCAATTGATCCACCAACGCAGTCCATTTGAGCCGAAAAATGATAACCTTATTTTGACACATGAAAATATCATCACACCCGATCACTTCTTTTCCGTTGAATGCCGCTGTTTGTCCCCTCATACACACACTCACTTTGCACTTTTCATTTGACTTGCGCTGATGACCGATAGGACAAGGCCACAGCAGTCGCGGCTGCAAACGGGATCTGGTACCAGGCATTCTCAGGACAAGCCCTCCGACTCACTCCACAGCAGGACCCTTGCAATTCTGCCTTGTAAGTATCAAAACTCTTGCCTGTTGTCACGCTACCAAGCACCGCTCATTCACTTACGTCCCTTCTTTCGTTTTTTCTACCAATAGACCCTCAAAGTTATCCGTCATATTGAACGAGGTGTTGGAAGCTATCAGGATGAGCAAGCTCCGCAAGGACGGCTGGACAGATCCGTAAGTATAACGAGACCGGCACATCGTTTACCTGTCACCCTGCAACCCCCGCCAACAACGACTAATCAAGTGCAAGTGTCATATTTTCTTTGCAATAGTGCCCAAACAGACAACCTGACCGACCAGCAATTTCAACAGCTTGGAAAGCTTCTCTCGACCAGCTTTTTCACCATCATGGAATTCGCAGATGTCAGCGTGTTCTTGGTGTGTTCAGCATCATGATCTGAGAAGTGTCCGTTGCGTACTTTCCCTTTGTACAAGTGTTGATTCTAACATGTTAGCCCTTTTACTTTTCATAGCCGGTCGAGAACGTTGTTTTGCTTAGCCGATTTGCATCTCAGCTTCCCGCTTCATGGTACTCGGATGATTTCCTCAGGACAACGATCCGCTTGGCCAAGAGATATATTTCAACAGAGCAACAGGACAAGGTCCGCGTCCCGATCCAGGTCCAGGGCTTGGTCGCCATCACAACTCTTTGGTCATTCTGGATGCGCAAAACTGGAGCAGGAGATGCCAATGTTTTGGGTCAGGAGTTGATCGAGGTCATGGCGCAGGTCCTTTCTATTCCTTCATTGTTCACGGGACCGGAGTCCAGAGGCCTCTTTGGAACATGTTTCTCTGGATTGGCGACTGGACTCGACAAATGGGCAGGTCTGATGGAACCCAAGATCGTGGAGGGTCTCGCGTCAGGACTGGAGCGAGGGCGTCTCAGCGCAGAAGACTCGGACATGGACGCCGTTCAGGCCGGTTTGGCTACTGTGCTCCGTTCAAACATTGTGAACGATACCCCCGACTCGATCAAGAAGCTGGTGACGGCATTCCTCCAGTCATTCTACGGAGGAGTCTCTTCCGCAACATTACCCATGGCTATTAGCAGTCTTGATGAGCTCCTCCAGATTCAGAGGCTCTTCCAGTTTGTCGTAACCCAAAAGGCTGGACTTGTTGCCGTCAAGGATGAAAACGATGGCAAGAAGAAGCGGAAAAAGAGAAAGCCCAAAAAGGCGGTTGTTCTGAAGGGTCAGCGTTGGTTCGAAGCCTTGGTTCAAGGGATTCAGGATATCTCTCCCTCGAACACCCTTTCCGGTCTTTTAGCTATTGCCGGTATTCTGTAAGTCATGTTTCTATTTGTAAATGTTGGCCAAATGTAGTTATTATTTTACGTTTCTAAACCATCTTGCATTATATCCATCACATCCTTAGGCGCGCTATCCAGCATGGCGAGGATGATCCTCTTAAGGTTGACGAGGAGAGCTTGGTGCTGATTCAAGATCTGTTTGTCACTCGGTTGAATGGACTAGTTGATACGATCAAAGCAGAGGATAAGAGATGGACCGTCTCCTCTCAGACTCAGGCGTGCTTGGTCTTTGCCACTTGCCAGACGGTTCCCAACCTCCCCGCCTGCAAACTAGAGGCTCTGGATCGTCCCTTCTTGACGTCTCTTCTGGTTGATTACATGCTTCAACCCAACGAGGGAGTCATCCCTGTGAACGAGATCATCCGAGTCATCAACTACGAGCTCGCGCGGGAAAGGAATCGTCTTGTTGTGAACGGTCCCTCGCATGCTCTGTTGGCCAAAACTGTCAGAGGACCCCTTTTCTCTGAAATGGGTCGTGTGGCGCGGACAGTGGCCACGTTGATAGAGAACATGGACAGCAAGGACCACGGAAACAGGAGTCACTGGGGTGAGATCGAGGATGTGTTGCAGAAGCTTCACTCGTTTGCCATCAACCTGCATGTCGACTGGTCTCGATGTGCGCTGTCACAGGCAGATTCGTTTATTGAGCGTGCCGAAGGCAACAGGACTAGTGGATTGGACGCAGAGACGACCAAGTCGACCGGAATGCTGTTCCAAGTCTTCAAAACGTTGCTCTTTGCGTATACCATGATCTTTGGCGCCATTGTTGAGAAGTCTACATCTGATCCACGTAAGAATCCTTCTGAGAACGCTGCGTATAAACGATTGTTTTGTCCGTTTGAAATGCCCGTATCATTAACAGCTTCCTTCTCTTACACTATAAAATAGTCCCTGTGGGAGTTGTTTCGCATTTGGATTACCTGATTCTGGACAGCTATGCCTACGTGTTCTTCATCACCTATAAGCTCGGCCCCGGAGGATTCCAAGTGTACGAGGAGCTTGTTACGTCGATTCTGACAAGGATGATCATGTCTGAAGAGCACGCTTCAGCTTTGGTTCAGCTACAGGCAGATCAGGACAAGGACGGTCACCCCAACCGCCACATCCTCCTCAACAAGACGCTCAAGGCAATGATGCCACGTGCAGAACTTGGATTCCACGACCCAGTCATGGAGAGCCGGACACTATTCTTTATGAACCTGCTGGAGCGCGTCATGGTAACGATCGACGAGACCCTGTTGGAGAAGCAGCTGTTGCCGTTGGTGTACCCTTACTTGCTCAAGAACGACCAGCGCGATCTTTTCGAGTCGGCCCATTCGGTCGTGATGTCTGTCTTCTTGACCAACAAGCGGATCGCACAGCAGGTTGCGCCATTCTATTCCAACTTGTTGATCCAGCACTTCCCAGAGCAGATTAATATCGACCAGCTGAGGGCTGCCTTCACGACCATGATTCGCTCTCTTTCGGGAACGGAGGATGCGCTTGCATGGCTCTGTGTCGAGAAGCTCCTTGAGAGGATACAGCAGTATGATGATGACCTTGCGGAGGCAACGGCTACGGTCCAGGCTGAAGTCGAGCGGCGCGAGGGCGAGAGGGCATTGGTTGAGATTGCTACCTCTGTGCAGCAGAATCTGGGGCCTCAGGAGTCTGCGACCCATCTGCCCTCCCTTGGCACCCAGAACTATGATACTGCCACTACCGCCTCGGCAGCATTGACAACACCACAAGCCATCCTGGAGCGCCAGAAGGAGCGGGGCCAATTGCTGTTGGCTCTGTTTGACCAACTGTCTAGTCTGAACCTAGTCTTTGTCGAGACGTTGGGACTCAAGATCCGGGAACTGATTGTCAAGGAGCCCAGCCCTGTTGGACGGAGAGCGCTGTTGAAGTGTCTGCTGGATGTGATTGGCGGACCTGCGGTTGATCATACCAAGCGCGATTGGGCTGTCAAGTGGTACCTTGGTCTTGCCAATGAGTTTGGACAGAAGGGTTCCTCGTCCTCTTTTACTTCTTCCAAGAGTGCTGGAGCCGCCTCTCGTCCTGCTCATGCACAGTAATTGACGATCGATAAAATAAATAAATAAAAACCTTGAATGGGACCAGTCGTCGTGGGCAATGCTCCTTGGCCCTTCACGAATGCGTCGAGAAACTTGGCAACGTCTGATCCTGGTGCAAAGAACTTGTCCGTGATCTTTTTGATGTCGGTATGGAGGTCGCCTATTTGCATGGGATAAAAGGGCGATATTGGAAAACTTAATACTTGAAAGACTACAACGATAAAGTTACAAAAAGGCATAATGGGTCCATACCAGATAGCGGCATGCCAGGACGGGAGTCGTCTGAGAGAGGGGTGGAGCTGCGAGCATGGAGTGAAACAGGAAGAGGCGCATGGACTATATCAGTGCAATTGGATGACAGGATAAGCATATGTATTAGGTGCGAATGGAAATAGCACGCGTGTCTGGACGATGACATGAATGGTGTTTTTGGGCGGCTTGTCGGGAAAGACCTCCAACAGGCCACGTGTCGCTCTGTGCTCAAGGCTCAATTGCGATCCTACGTCGCGAGATTCGTGACAATGGGGATGGATTAATTACATCTAAACTGACACCATGAGCTGATTCAACATCCTTGGTTACATTAACAAGAATCTAATTCAGAGTGGTGTTCACATCCATTTCTCGCTCTTCATCACCACCCTTGGCGATCGAACAAGGAGAGAGAGGGGGAAACATGAATTGAAAGAAGGTAGCGTTGCATTGCGGAACTCAAGTTTTAAAAGGTGGATGAATCGCATCAAAACTAATACCATGAGCTGATCCGATGCCTTGGTTACAGTAGCAGGTTCTCAACCTCAGAGTGGTGTTCAGATCAATAACATCCCATCGCTCTTCAATACTTACTGTTGCGATGCTTGAAGAATATTTTTTATGGGGGCAGAGAGAGACGGTCCGGAGTCGGACGCTGGTCGAGATGGGGAGAGAGAGACGGTCCGGAGTGGGACACTGGTCGAGATGGGGAGAGAGAGAGAGAGAGAGAGAGAGAGAGAGAGAGAGAAGATGGCAAGTCCAGTGAAAAAAAGACGAGAGGGTTGAAAAAAAGAAGGCGGTGATGAACGCATAGAATAGGAATTCGATGCTTGAAGAGAGGACAGATTGACGCGAAAAAATAAGCTAAAAAACGCGTCCAAGGACAGAATCACGACAAGAAGAAAGGGTAGCTGGTTTATTCACGCTTTCTCTACCATCTCGCGAAAAAAAATACATCGTAGCATGAACTCTACGCTATGCGTTTAAAACTATCATTATAAGGGGAGAAACCAGACAAGTACTGAAGAAGAAAGTCGGAAGGACGATAACAAATGACATATAGTTTACAAAGGAAGGGTGAAAGGAAGGCAGAAAACTATGGAGATAGCTTCAAAGGAGAGATAAAGATAAAGAGGGGTCATTCGAAGGAGATCGTGTGAAGTGTTCGTTCAAATTCGTGAATAAGAGAAAGGAAAGGGGGTAGAAAGCATAGAAATAATAGCAAAGATTGTTCTCTCTAACGCGTCGCCCATTCTCTAAGGCGATCGCATCATGGTCTCTTCATGGTATCCGGCAGCGATGCCGCCGGAGTGGTTGTTGTATCGTGATTGATGGTACTGTTGTTGTTGTTGTTGTTGCTGTTCAAAGACACCATCCATTTCCGATGTTCCTGCTGCCGCTACTCCTCCTGGACCAGGTGGATACTCGTTTGCGGGGCTAAGTGGGTGATGTCCAGTTCCGTTACCTCCACCATGATGGTTCACGTGGTGGTGTTGGTGATGCTGTTGCGGAGCAAAGGGACTTGCACGATGCTGCTGTTGTTGTTGAGAGGGAAAGTACTGGTGTTGGCGACCAGATATCTGAGGAGTCGTGACAGACGAGGTCGAGGTGTTGTTGTTGTTGAGGAACCGAGCATCAGACGATCCCGTCTCGGGGCTATCCGACATCATGACCATCGACCCGCGGTGGTAGTTAGCGCCAACATCGGTTCCAGAGGGGCGTCGCTCGTCGTCACGTTGTTGTTGTTGTTGCTGCTGCAAGTGCTGGGTGGGTCGGGGATCGTGGTGCGAATCCTGCATCTCCATATCATCACCCATCTTACGTGGTCCAGCGCCAGCCAAAGCTGAGACTGGAGGCAGACTCACAGGACTGAGCCCTCCTCTATTGTAACCATCGTTTCCCTTGACCGCCGAGAAGGACGACCAACTGTTCTCCTTTCGGAGTCCTAATCCATCACCTCGAGAGGAAGCACTGTGAAAGGCAATTGGTGACGATGACTGGGGTTCAGGACCAGGAGGTCCTCCACCGCGACCACCACTACTATTACTCCCAGACCAGCTGATAGCACCGTCGCTCAATCGCTTATTCATCGTGTCAAATCCGCCTCCGGTCTCGGATCGCTCGTCAGAAAGATACTCCATATCGTTTCCGCGAGAGTAGCTGCCACCACCTCTTATGGGCGAGACTGCTGACGTCGCCATTCCACCGCTGATGCTACTGCGAGACAATCCTGCAACCGGGCTGGTCATCATGGGCGAGTGAGGCTTGATACCGTCCTCCTGTTGAGCACCACTCCACGACCGAGCAGATGCCATAGGTACAGATCGCGATCCTCCCTGTGTCGAGATAGGATACAATGGTGGTCGCTCGTGCTGCACGTTGCCGTTGCTGGTATATGGCTGTGTCGACGAAGGTGGCGACGATTCGGGGTATTCGGAAGGCAAGAGGCGGCTACCAGCGTTGGAGCCGTTGGTACTGGATCGGTAGGTAGACGATGCAGACTGGTCGTTGTTGAAGACAGGAGATATCAGCTCCATCCGAGAGTCCACAGAGCTGCGACGAGGTCCATGGTTCCTGTTCTGATCGTGAGGGTAGGTGTGTTGTTGGCTGTTCTGGACTCCCGAGGTCGCATAGTCGTCTCCAGAATCGGCAGAGTTCGATTCACGGCGACTCTTGTTCAACGAGGGTTCGGACGGGTGGCGATGAAGCTGTCTGTGGGGAACTGGGTGGTCAAACCCCTCAAACTCATGGTCCGAGTCGGTTCTGGAGGGGTGCTGCTGCTGCTGCGAATGGCGTGGCAGAGAGTGGGGCTGGTTCAAATGTTGGTTGGCAGCAAGATGTTGCTTGAGAGAGTGAAACTTTAGCGAGTCATTCGTCAGTGGAGGGGATGAGGCATTGTAGGCGCTTCGCATTGGCTGGGAGGCCGATCGACGGCTCAATGTCGTTCTACCCAACGACGATGGGTAGCTATGTCCGCTATGTGTGCTGCTGTTGTCGTCGTAGGATTCCTGGTCCCGACCCGGCAGTGAAGATGACTTCTCGCCACGGCTCCATTCGCCACCACTAGCACCACGTTCACGATCGCCGTGGTCCAGTTGCTCTCTGCTCGAGCTATGGTGGAGCGTATGGTTCGGCTGTTGCTGCCGTTGCTGTTGCTGGTCTTGTTCACTTGATGATCCTGCGGCACAGACCAATCCCGTGGTCGGAGACGCATGAGAGTGAAGCGGGGACTGCTGAGGCGACAACGAAGAGCCCGAAGATGGGTTGTTGACCGCCAGAGCAACCTCAAGCTCACGGTTACGTGCCGTCAATTTCATGATCTTTCCTTCGGCTTGCTGCAGCAGCTCGGCCTTTCGTTCGAGCTCGCGGACATAAAGATCCTTGCGTTGACGGAAGGCTCGCTGGGCAGCTCTATTCTGGGCAGCACGCTTGGTCGAGTTCCGTCCTTGCTCTGTACCAGCAGAGCCACTGGCGGTCGATCCTGGTTTCCCGTTTGTAGCATGAGTGCCGTTGGTCCCCGCCGCCGACGAGGATGCGTCTCCGCCGCCGGTGGTCGAAGAGGCAGCTGAATCACGTGGGTTCCGTTGATGGTGAATGGCCGCATTGAGATTGGCACGTCCAAGACCCGTCGAGTGATGCAAGTAGACACTACTGCTTCCGCCGCTGCTGACACTCCCGCTGGCGACACTGTGGCCGAAACTACTGCCGGTGGTCGACCCAGTGGTTGTGCTGCCACTGACACTGCCAGAGAGATGGCGATGGGCATGACTGTGGAGCGGATGCGACCCATGGAGGTACTCTATGCTGGACAGAGAATCGGCTCTTGATACTGTCGATGGAGCCCCCGACGAGCTCATGTACAAGTCTAGTAACGAAGGGTGGGATGAGTTTTTGTTTGGTTTGTGGTCAACGCGTCGATCTGATGCATATCCTTATGCGCATTGGCCCTGAAAAAACAAACAAAACAAACAAGCACTACACTTGTATCCCACGACAGGATTATTATACGCTGACACACCAGTCACGGCGCAGTACGACGAAGCGTAATGAGGATGAAGGTGGGAAAAAACATAAGAAAAGTAAGGTACCTGGGAGAGATCCAACGGATGAAGAGTGACGGCTATGGTGATCGTGAGGATAATACTGTTGCGATCCTGCACCATGAGACGAGGACGAAGACGACGAGGACGGGTATTGTGGGAACGAGTGCGAGGCTGGTCCACGCTGCTGTTGCTGCTGCTGATAGTGCTGCTGCTGCATACTCTGTTGTGAATGCGAATGCTGGTGGAGATGTGGGTCTGTGAACTGTGACAGGGGCTGTCCGCCTGGACCACCACCCATCAGACCCAATCCGGTCGATCCCCTATGAGATGAAGACGAGGAAGAATCTGGTCGAATGCCCTTGTCGAGTTCCCTCAGAGGTGGAAGGGTAAGTGAAGGTGGAGGGGCCGGGCCTGGACCTGGGTCAGCGCCAGAGCCCATCATGCCCGGATGAGAAGAATATGGGAACGTCGTGGTGGCGGTGGGTGTCGGGTTTGAACCGAGAGAGAATGGTGCTGCGAGAGGGGAATATGAAGACGAGTTATAGAACGGGGGAAGAGGTGGAGGTGTAGGGGAGAGAGACTTTTGTTGAGTAGGTAGTGTGAGGTTGGTGAATGCGGTGGAGAGGAGGGCGGAGGCCGAGTTTCGTCTTGGAACGGTTGGGCTTGTGTGATCTAAAGGAAAGAAGAGACGGCGTTTATGGGTGTTGTGGGTGTTGTGGGAGGGACGTCAGTTGAATATAAACAGAGAGTCCAAGGGCCTAAAGGATGGAGAGGGGCAGATATAGAGGTGGAAAGAGATGAAACGTGGGGAGTTAGAAATCGGATGATTATATGTTCCTTTTTGCTGTGCACGGACAAGGAAGCCACAAGGACTGTGGGCACGCAAGTCAGAAGAAGAAAGAAGAGAAGATATCGCATCTCTGTACAGAAGGGCGATGGAGAGAATGGACATGGACAGAGGGAAAAGAAAGATGCGAGTGGATGGATGTGGGTGCAAAGATACCAACGATGGAGCGCGCGAGAGAGAGAGAGACAGAGAGAGAGAGAGAGAGAGAGAGGGGAGAGAGTGAGGGCCATGGTCCATGCGTTCTTGTCAATGAGCTGTAGATTCGACCCCCGACCCATTAGGCCATTTGGCATTTCGACAGACAAACAGACAGACAGGCAGATCTGCTCTATTCTCTCTCTCTTTCTCCCTTTCAAAGTATCTCCTCCTCCCCCTGACTCTTTTTCGCTCGCCTTCTCTATCCCTTTCTCCACTTTCCATCTTACAACACAATATGCATGCAATGCATGTCGTTATTGTCTAATTGCCGTCTGTCTGTCTGGCATTGATTTTGTTTGTTCTGTTTTGTATGTGCATTGTTTGTTCTGCTGAATTATCCTCCTTCCTCCACCTCCTTACCCCCCTTCGAATTCCTCAACATGTGTTGTTCTTTCCCTTCCCCCTTTGTCTTGGTCCCAGTGTAAAGAACGAACAAAACAAAAAAAAACAAAACAAAAGGAAAGCGCACAAACATAGCAACCGATTCGGATTCCCAAATCATGGCACCCTACAGTTCAAGTACCCTATCACAAGTCTCCCGTTTTCTTTTGTCAGCGTCATAGCCTAAAGTAATTGCCCATGGTGAAAACGTGAGTTTATGCGCGACATCGCGGACTTTTTCTTTTTTTCTGTCGCTGACCAACCCTCTCCTATATTCTCCTCTCTCAACCTTCTCGCTCTCCCTTTCCAGCTGCCCCTTTCTTTTTTTTTTACTTTGTCTTTGTCCTCATTTGTTTCTCTCTTTGTAACCCCCTTACTTTTCTGTGGTTGACTTTTTTTTGTTTTTGTTTAGTGTGCGTTTGTGTGAGCACCCTTGCACTGCTGACATTCCAGAAAACAGTCAATTATACAACAGAACGAAAAGGAGAGAGAGACCAGACACACAGAGTGCTGACAGAGGAAAGGGAAAGAGATAGAGAAAAAAAAAAAGCGCTATGCTCTCTTACGACCTGCAAACCCCACTTCCCGGAATAAAATAAGCAATTGAGGGGAAAAAGAAAAACCACAACGAAAAAACAAATTCGCTAAAAGGAGTGGGAGAAAGAGAGAGAAAGTTTTCAACAATTCTTCTTTGTAGATCCCATCCGTCCCGCATTGGAAGAAAGCCACCTATCTTTCATATGATTACCCATTACACGCACATTATAGCTGAGGTATGGAACAACTGAGCTCACATTTCATGCGATACTGAAGTGGTTGATGTGAAGTAAAGAACAAGGAAAAGGAAAAGAAACGAAGAGGCTCGACTCACGATGCACTGTTGTCGAGGGCCGTGAAAAATGCGCAAACCAAAAAAGGGCGAATTATGCAACGGACAAGTAAATCGGGAAGAGTGAAATGAAGAGCACGTTTGAATAGGGGCTGAGGGAAGGCGTTTTTGCAGGTGGTGTCGTTATGAAGATGCGATGGTTGACTCGTCGTGCTGCCGGAGTGAAGATATGTAGGATAGGTGAATGATGAGAGAGGAAAAAGAAGCGAGAGTATGCTGACCCAATCAAACGTTGTAGCACGGAAAGTTTTGCGGGGCGAGAAGGACGAGGTGGGAAATGAGCTGAGAAGAGAAACGAAAGAAAGGAGGAGAAAGGCGCAAGAGATGAAATGAAAGAAGCAAAACTAGGCACAAAAAGAAAAAACTTGGAGAAGGAAAGAAGTGAGCACTGATGTGTGTGCGTGTGCGGGGATGAGAGTAAGCTGGATGCTTTTCATTTGTTTATGTGAGCAACGGCAACACATTGGCTGTAACTCCCTGCAACTCCTGACAACCATCCGTCTCTCACGCACACACTCTCATTTATTCCTTTCATTCTTTTCTCCTCTTTTGGCTCATGCTCATAAAACAAACAGGCAGTTGTGAAGGAAAGGATCAGCTTCAAGGGGAAGGATAAAAAAGCGTCAAAATGAAAAAAGGCAACGAGTCGGGTCGAGTCGAGTGGAGTTAAGAGAGAAAAATTGAGAGACAGAGAGGGAGAAAGACGTTGAGGTGTGGGTTGCACGTTTTTGTCAACGACGGAACCGAAAATCAAGTACGCGTGCGTGGTTCATTTTAAAAATAATAGGAGGGAGTAAAGGCGCGCAATGGCAAGAACGAGCATGGAGAGAATGTACGCATGTATAATTACTTTCTGTATTCCAGGAGGGGCGCGATCTGTATGTGCTTGATGTGTTGTATCCCTGTGAGTGATATTAGGTGGTGAAGAGGTTGGTCATGAATGTGAGCGATGGTGTTGTTGGGCAAGGAAAGAATGAAGATTATTGTGCTGTGTGTAAGAGTGAGCGGGATGCGTAGGCAAGAGATGGATGGAAGGTGTGGAGGAGATTGCAACGGTCGAAGGTAAAAAAGAAAGAAGAAACACAAAAAATGAGAGAATAAAAAGGCGGGGGAAGTGAGATAATGCCTTTGCTTGGGTAAACAATGAAGGATACACAAGGGTGTGTTGATGACAAAGGTCAGGGCCAACAAAACCAAACGTAAGGCAGAGAGAGAGAGGGGAGGGGTTGAAAAGCAAGGGAGGAAGAGAATGACAAAGAGAAAAGGTAAAGGCGTCAGGGCGAGGCTGGATGTTGGCGTGGAAGTGATCCCGGAGTTGAGAAGAGAGAGAGAGAAAGAGAAGGTAAGAAGAAAGTGAAGAGAAAGAGTGAGAGGAAGACCGTGTGTGTTTGTGTGAGGGTCTGTCGGAGAGATTATTTTGTTACGTTCACGGAAACGTCAAGGAGAGAAGGAGATGGAGTGGATGAGAGTATGTTGAAGAGAGGGAGAGGGACTGGACAGAGAGAGGCGATTGTGACGCATTGAATGGATGAATGGATGAATGGACGAATGAATGAAAAAGAAAAAAGGGGAATAAGGAGAGAGAGGCACAAAGAGCAGAGCAAAGTGAAAAGGGAGGGAGGGACGAGGAGGGGGAATGATATAGAGAACAGAAGGCCGAGTACATGTTTACAGTACATAAAATAGCGAGAAACAATTGAAATGCTGGGATGGACCATGCGAACGGATATCTGAACAAACAAGTGTAAAAAACACGGCGATTGTTACAAACACCACGACATTTTACGTACCCTGCGTAAGTAATAATGCCGATATGTCAAAACGACCAGAGCGGCGGCAGCAATCCTGAAATTGACGAGATGTGATGGAGCAATAAGTGAGAGGTGAGAGATGAGTGTATGCGCGCGTGTGCGTGTGTGGATGTGCGCGAAATGAGAGGATGTTGGGATATGAAGGGATATGGATGGATAGACCGGAGAAGTGGGAGGTGTAATGTGCGATTGATAGACGAAATGCAAAGGGAATAAACAATAACGAGGGAGAGAGAGAGCCTAAAAGGGAGGATAACAAGGAGACAGAGAACGGTAAAGGAGGGGAAAACGTAATTAGGGAACAATAACGACGACGATAAGGACAAAAGCAGGAAGGGAAAAAGGAGCCGGCCGAAGTAAAGAATAAAAGTAAACTAAGTGAAGAAGATGAGGGCGCGGGAGGGGTATATATATGGCCGGAGTAAGAGAGCGAAGAACGATGATGATGGAAGGTGGAGGAATGGAAAGTGGAAGAGAGAAGAGGAGAGAGAGAAGAGGAGAAGAGGAGAAGAGAGAGAGACAGAGAGAAAGAAAGAGAGGGAAGAAGAAGGCGAAGAACATCTCATGAAATAAAATCAACAACAAATAAAAGACTGAACTGATTGAAATGATTGAATGGAAAGAAAAAGGGCGAGAGAAGGGTTTGCTGGCACAGCAATTGCAGCATTCGCGATAATTGCTTTACAAATGCACACTCACATACACACATAAACATACATATCAAACATGTGTCGCCATATATAACCAACGCACCCCATGGACAAGGACAAACACCCCTCACTCTTCTGTCTCCCCCCTCTTATTTTCTCTTTCTTTCTTATTCTCTTTACTCTTTCACTTTCTCTTACTCTTTTCTCTCCCTCGCTCTCAAACCTCCCTGACGCTCTCGCTCTCCCTCCCTCTTCCTCCCGCATGCAGTTCTCTTTTTTGTGTGTTGTTTTTTTCATGTCGTTGTTTTTATGTGTTTGACACCTTGCGTCTAAATTTGAGTTACGAAAAAGAAAGAAAGCGTTGGTTGCCCATCTTTGCCCATTCGTCGTTACTGGTTTTTTTTTTCTTCGCCTTGTCTCTCTTCCCGATTTACTTCTCCTTCACACACACACAAACACACCCCTCATCCTTTTTAGTCCTCTTTGCTCTTCAATTACAGAACCCCTTCTCCTCTCCTCTCGCCTGCCCTCACTTCCATTCATTAAAAAACAAGGCGCTTCATCCTCAGAATAAAGGGTCGTCCATGTGGAGGGAGGGGTAGGGGGTTGCTAGGGATGAAGAAAGGAAAGAGGGGGGTATGGAACAAGTGATTGAGCAATTCC